AGCTGCATCTGTGATCTATAATAGAGTGAAAATCCCGACAATATGAAAGCTATCGTTCCTCACTGCAAGCCAATTTGTTTTTTGTTTTATGTCAAATTTTTTTGATGATTATTTTTTTTTCTTCATTAAGTGTTTCTCTACAGATTTTAAATGTTAATTTTCCCTTGCTTACTCCTTATTTCCAGTCTTAATCGAGTCTTTTATCGTTTCGTTACTTTCAGCCTCGCGTCATGTCGTTGTCCATTCTCGTTATTACTGCTGATAATTTGGTTGAGTTTTAATGATCATTAAAGCAATTACAGGACTTTAGTCATATGGTCGACCTAAAATTGAATATGGAATGGGTAATATAATGGAAAGGGAAACATTTTCCATGTTCTGGATCACATTCAGCAGCTTAATCACTATTTCAGATTCTTTAAATGCTACTTATTATTTTTATTATTGACATTTTAAGTTTTTCGTCCTTTTTTGTTACATTTAAGACACAATTTTCTTTTCTCAGAGAGAGACAAACCAATTTCCCACTCAAACACCTGGCTGGTATTTCATTTAAGCATATTTGAAAGCAAAAGCAGCTTCAGGTCTTCATGGTAATTATCTTATAATAAACGACCATGGAAATCATTGAACACGAATCACATTTTTTCTTTTCATTCTGGAGAATTTCATAAAAGTTGTTGAGAAGAACGTACAGATTGAGTCCACTGATGTCAGTTGGAAACATAAAATGATGTTTTAAAATATGAGGGGATACGCTTCAGATTCACTTCACACTTGAATCCATTAGACTTCCATTTCTTGTTTATCACCATCTCACCGCCTTGCCCTGTCAGCCAAGTCCTTTATGACACAATAGAAAGTTTTGTTATTGTTTCGTCACCCCCCTCGCCTCATCTCGCTGCTTGCTCCGCGGCACAACATAAAATACTCCTGCTTTTTGACTGCCTGAACCTTCTAAGTGCTGAGCAGTGCACAAACACCACAACACACTTTTTATGAGACTGCCTTCTATTTTTGAAGCGACGGTAACACGCCTACTTCACAGCGGCGCATTCGACGCGGGTGAAAGCTGAAATATGTTTCCAATCTCTTGACTTTTGGATATTTTATAAGGGTTTCAAACGGGAAGCCGGCGCAATGTTTTAGTTTTAGTGGATCGCTAAATGTATGGATAGAAGAGGCTCTAGGCCCCTTTTTATTTCACGGGAACCTGCACGGCGATCTGCTTGTGCAAGCAAATTACGGTTTCTCGGACAAACCAGTGGCAGTGGACGAGTCACTGGAGTGACTAACCTGTCCCACTGAGCAGAGCTCTCAGGGGTCTGATGCTGGACACTTTTGTGCAGTGCAGGTACAGAATAGGCCCTGACTCACTACACCATTTTGATCCCTTCATACTGACTTTTAAAAATTCTAGTTGATGTGCAAATAGTGAGTATTACAAAGTGAGAATATGGAAATGGGTCTTCTAATTGTGTTTTTTTTTACTGTCATGGTTTGTGTTCGATTTCAATTGTCAAAAATAATCACACACCGAAGAATGAATCAAATCTTGACTTAAACTACCGACCCCCTTCATTTTGATTGCATTTTTCGTTGGCGGGAGTTTATTCCCCGTTTATTGCCTATGCCGTCTTCAAACGAATCCCCAGAGGATACATAAAACAGTTAAGTGTCATTTCTGGATGGAGTTGAATTACTTGGTGGAGAAGAGAGCCGTCAGTGTGGCGTGGCTGAGGCGCCGCGGGAGTCGTGATTCAAAAAGGGAGAGTTTTGAATGTGTGTGTGTGTGTGAGCATGTTGTGTTTGTGCTGACAGACTGATATGATGCGTCTGCCGTGCAGCAGCTCTGACCGAGTGAGTCTCCGGCTCCGAAGCGAGGCTGTAAACGCGCTGAGCAGATACGTCAGCGGGGGAGTGTGTCCCCGTCTGCTGCAGTCTTAAGGTCTTCTCATCACAACTGTGTACCAAGAGCGAGCACAACAAGGTCTCAAACAAGTCCGTGAAGTGCAGTATTTACCAAACATGAATCCGCTGCATGTCACACGCGGGGAGAAATCAATAGAAATGCAATACTGGGTTAACTGGAGCAGACCGTTGGGACATTTATGTCCCCCTCTCCTGAATGATCAAAAAATGATTTGTTTCTTGTTCTGCCTCCGGCAAATTGTGGACTGTCTCCAAACAGAATATGGTAAGCTGGTTCTGAGCACATTGCAGCTTATTATTGACCTACACAACACCCCTTATGCTCCGGCATATTTCCCCAGTCCGCTACACTGACCAGGCAATGGTCAGTGACATCGCTGTCCCCGGTGAAGGATGCATGCTGGGCATTAGTCACACAGAACTTTGTTTCAGTAAAAACAGCCCCTTTGTGTCCTCCTTCATGAATAAATCGAGGCTCCTGTTCAAGGAAGTGGAATTATTTGACGTCTGAAAGTGTGACACTTCCTGAACAATCCTGCTCTTGCTGATATCTGAAGATGGTGTAACAGGTTATTCTTATGGCTGACTGCCTGCGTTTTATTCCTGGTTATTATTCATCCTTGTTTTCTGAAACCTTTCATCCGGATATAATGACGGTTTACGCCAACTGCTTAAAAAAGATCAAATCTTATAAAATACTCTCCGAAAGGCGTCTGAAAGTGCTGTTGCTTTTTCTAGCTCATCTTCTCTTTGTGTCATTGGTGCGTCTGAATGTGGTGCAAAAAGAAAATAACAAAAAGTTAAATAGACGTTTTTTTGTGAAAAAGCTAAATGTAATTGAAGTAACTTCTAGAAACATTATTCTCATAATACAGAACAAAGGTTCACTTGGACATATAGTATGTTAAAAGTTATTGTGAGGATGCAGGATAGTTTTTCTGTCCTGTCCTGAAGAGTTTTCCATGAAAGTGCAGCTAAATAGTATTCTGCCAAATCTTCCAAAAGGTCTTTTGTTGTCATATGGTAGGTCGATTAGCTTTATTTTATTATTATTTCTGCAGTATTTATCTCTTTTAAAAATTGTTGATGCACAGCTAGTTAATTGATTTTCAAAAGTTTTGAGTTCAGTCATCCTCTTTTTCATTTTCATGAACTGTTGATGCTATTAATCTTTAAATTAGAATTCTTCTAAGCAAAACACCACTGTGATTTCTTTCCGTATGATATCTATGTAATCGGTAGCTATGCTTAAAGTTTTTATAACTGAACAGCCAAACTGAGAAAAGATGGCTGGTATTCTTTCTCTTGACCTGTCAGTGAGGATCCCACTCCATTTGCATGTAAAAAGTTTCCCAATCAGCAGTCTAAAATGGATAGCACCCATGTGAGGTATTCTGTGTACTTATGTAATTTCCTTTCTAATGAGCCAACAAATGCACAATGCACCAGGCTCTGAGTTAATGGGGAGAAGGAGTAATCTTGTCCCCGTTGGTCATCACACCCTGTGCCCCATTTTTCTTGGCGCTCCAGTATCTGTTTTCTCTCCTCCAGAGATGTGCCGAGGCCCCAGACTCTTTAGACCGGCGTGCCTTTCCCCCACTGGCTTAATTAAGGGCTTAAAACAATGTTCCATTAAATCAGAAGTCTTTCTCAGCAAGAGCAAACATCCATTTTTTTTCTGCTTTGCTGTCAGACACTGAAGTGAGATGAATTATCAGAGAGATGCGAGCCTGAGAACAGCGTATGATGTATCTGGCCTTGCCCTCTAATCACAGATTTTTCACTTCCCAAAACTTCTGTATCATTTGCTCGGAGGCATAGGATAGATGTAGAGGCGGGGGTTGGGAACGTTTCCCCTCCTAGATCCCATGATTGATATCGGGAGTCAAATTTTCTATTATCATTGTTTATCTTGAAATAGTTTCAATAGATTAATCAATCATAAGATTGATGGTAGCTCTATTGGTGGCCATCAAGTGATTGCAGCATTTTGTCCGGCTTTTTAGTTTCTTTGACATCTCTGGGGGTTTGCTCAGTGATCTGTCCAAAAGTCAGGGCCTCATCGTTTTGTGACTTTTGTGTTTGACATGTATTAGTTGTCTTTTTCTGTAAATCGCCACAAAGTGGAAAATTAACCTCAGTGTTTGAATAGTTTTAGATATTTTGCCGACTGAGGTGGTAGTGATGTCATGTGTGGAAGTCCAGAGGTGTCAGCAAAGGTTCAGAATTAGAAATGGGCTCAGCATGTAAGGGGAAGCTAACCAGCAATGCTGCCTTCAGCTGATCCTGTGATGTTATATTGAAATGTGTAAGCGGGGCTGAGTCATCCCTGTTTGGCATGTGTGAAATACAGAGGAGGAAAAAGCATCAGATTAACTTAGTCTGGGTTTTTTCCCCCTGTTTGCTGATAAGCCACAGCCATCATGTGACAGAAGGCTTTGGAAGGTGCTGATAAAGTCAATGTGCTGCACCTAACACCTTTTTAAATCTCAAAATCCAGCTGGATTTTGAGATGTCTTTTGGGCCAAAAAACGGTTGACTGCATGATTTTCCATTGTGAAATGATGATAAATAGTAATAAGTCATCAGGTAGGTAGTGATAATCACTCCACATTTCCCCCACTCACTTTTTTGGCAAACAAATGTTTAGAATGATAAATGAGCGTATTTATTAAACCGTTTTGTAAATGTAAAATGTAATATACACTTTGTGTACAAAGTGCAATTAAAAGTTAACATCCTAAAAGTTCTTCACTATTCCATTTAGATTTCTCTTTATCTTCTTTCTTGGTTTCATTTTTTACCTATATTCATTCCACAGGCAGCTGAAATAGTCTTTTGAAACTCTTTTACTTTTTATTTACAGCCTTTACTCATTTTAATTTTTTTCCCATGTGTTAGATGCCCTCATTACTGCATAAAACATAACATTTCTACATACTTTTTAGGAGTGATGCTGCATATTCTTCTCTTGGTTTCCTCCCAATTTTGTTTTTATTTTCTTTATTTCTCCGATGGCTTTATTTGACCTACCTTCCATCCTTGAATTATTAAGCGATTGAGTTGTCATGGTAACAGTACCGGTATCGTCCCAGCGAGAAAAAGTGGAGAGACGAGACATGAGAGAAGCAGCTGGCTCAGTTCTGATTCAGTCCAAATGTGGACTGTCACTTTGGTGGGAGTGCTCAGGCAGTTTTTACTGACAGCAAAGGCTGTCGCAGCGCTACGCCGGGAAACCAGAAACTGAGTGGGAGACCTCCATGTGCTGTGGCATACCTGAACTATTCCCATTCGCTGACATTTCTCACATTACCCCGAACAGCTGGTGGAAACATGTGGCCTTTTCTTCTTAATTGCTGCACAGTGATAGAAGTGATTGGTCTGTGTTATATCTTTCCGGAAGAGATTCTATTTCTGTATTTTACACCTTGAAACACAGCTAAACTAGGACTATTTTTGCAAGATCCCTCACCTTTGTTTCCTTTGCTATGATGATCTGCTTGCTTATCTGACTCCTTTAACCAGGATTTGCATTTGTTTGGAAGTTTAAGATTCTTTCCTGTGTGGGATATTATGAAGATAAAATCAATAGTAACGTCTGCAGATAGTAGCGGAGGATTTGTAGATGGATGTTCTGGCAGTCTTGATGGAAAGTTGGGAGGAAGCTTAAAGGGCTAATGCGACTGTATGCAGCTTTAGAGCTGTCTTGCAAGTCCCACGCTGAGGCTTGCAGCATGTAAAGTTTGCTCAAGGCTTTTTATCTTGGGGATTCATTCACAGCCGAGCAGATACAGAGAATGAACAAATGTGAGATACCCTCCCGCTGATCGAGTCTCCACTTGATGCTTTGGTAAGTTGCTTCAACAAGGCGTCAATGAGATTTAAAGAGTGCTGACTATTCTATAGCCTTTGTTCATCTTATTAATATATTGGCTTACAAATCTTTAAATAATGCTGCTCTGGCTGAAAAATCCAGCCAACCTCAATAACTTAGAGCAAAAACTTTTAGATATACTTTGGATCAAGTGACTTAAACCTTTGATCCTCAGTTAAACACACATTTTGATTACTTTTATGCTAGTTTTCGTTTTGTTTTTTTGTGCACTTGATCAGGCTTTGTCTACATTTTGCCCTCCATTTTATTACTGTAGAAATTATTCCAGCCTAAGCTTACATGCCCTCATATACGAAAGAGGTCTCACCCTCCCTTCCTCAGAAAAACATTTCCACATTAATATAACACGAGTCACGTTGGCTTCTATGAAGCATTATAAAGAGGTGAGTGAAGGAAACACTAACAAAGGATTCTCTATCCTTTATAGTGTTCTAAGTAATAACTAGCATTGTGCATTAAGCAAAGCAAGCATTAACCGTAAAGGCATAACTGGGAAGAAGAACAGTAAGGTAAGAGCATCCGTGTGTGTGTGTGTGTGCGTGTTAGTGTGTGTGCAAGTGTGTGTTTGGGTGCAAGCATTCAGGATTTCTGATAAGTCAGGGCTAATTACAGCTGAAAAAGAACTTCCCCAGCAAAAAGCCTTGTGAGCATTAACTACCATGAAGCATCTGAAAAAACAACTTGTACAGGAGCTCTACTTAAAGTCCTCACTCATCACAGTGGTCCGATTCCAGATTAGTATCAAGCAGGGATTGCTCTCTGTCAGATTGACGGGTTGATCTTTTTTCTCTAAATGCAGTGGCAGTCTTAGAGGTTCATATACTTGTCCCAACTTACATGTATCAAATATGGAATCAATATACTTAGTGATTTTCTTTACAGCTTTATTTCAGGTCTGTTGTATATTCTGTCATCTTTTAAGATTTCTGATACGTCTGATAATGTTTCTGCTACTGATACTGCTATTAAAGTATCACTATTTAACAGTTAGTCAGGAAAAATACAATTTTTTCCCTTTCAAATATGAAGGCATATTATGTAACTTCTTCAGATGCGTTTCTCATTAGTCCCACATCTTTAGTTAGTTAATAGCAAACATCATCTCTTTACCTACTATGTCCTTGTGCTTTTCTTTTGTTCTTATTTTAATTCTCCGGATAGGTGATTATCTCCTTTCTCTGCTAAATCCCATGAGTAAATATACTTGAATGTGTTTTTTTCCCCCTTCTACTCAGCCTGAAACTGCACAGTCTCCATCCTTTCACAGTAGTGTCCAGGAAGAGTTTTTCCAAAGCATTTCCACAGAGTCCAAGGTTACTTCTTAGTTATTTTGCTTAAGAACGTGTCAGATTTTTGTCTATCAACATCTAAAGGAAGTCACAACAGAGAGGCAAAGCACTTTTCACCCTGGCAGCCACACGCGGGCTCTTTTCTTATCTCGCCTCGGCAGCACATTTAGGCGGCGCCAACCAGAGCCGGGATAAGGTGCTGCGAAGTAAAGACGGCACTTTTGGGACCTCACGGGCATTATAATCAGCTGAGACAAAGAGTGAGAGGGAGAGAGAGAGTGGGGGGGGGCAGCAGGTTAATGAGAACGGACCCTGCGTGAGGGCACCTGCCTTGTCAAATTTGAAAGGCCAAGCCAACTTCAGCGCTCAGATCCAATCAGCTCAGCCAGTCAGGAGCCGAGCACATCACAGGCGCAGAGTCATTTTGTCCTCGCTCCGTCCTTCCATTTGAACCTGATTGTTTATTGAACGTGCTTCTCTTGTCTTCTCCAGGGGAGCTTTGTGGCCTGCATGACTGCCACACTGAGGCAGATGGACGACTATCATTACACTCATCTGATCAGCACCTTTGGGAAGATACGGAGCGACGTGGTGGTAAGTTCCTCTTATCGCTGCGCGTGTTACTCTGAAGACTTCCGTCTACGTGCTCGTAACTTCAGACTAACCGTTCGTGTAGGATTTTTGTTTATGGTCAGTATTTCCTAAAAAATGACAAGTTAGATGAAGTCTTTTCTAAATGTTTTTCTCCCACAATAAGGCATGAACTCTGGGGCTTCTGCTTGAACAGCATTCTCTTGATGATAGTACCTCCTGGGGGAAAATGGATAACTTGTTGCTGCTAACACACAGAGGAGGAGGGATAAATCTCAGAGGTTTGGGATTTCAGCTCTGAATAATCCTGCCTTCAAAGCAGTCTTTTTCTTGTATCTGCTGCCAGATTAGCATTCTATTACTCCACTCCAACAAAAAAAATGAAATCCCACTATTTACTTTCATCCCAGTAAGTGACTCTGGATCTTTGGAGGAAGGACACTCATCTGATTTGCATTTCAGGTGTAATTTTGATAAATGCAGGCTGACAGATAATGCATAATACCTTCAGTCATTTTTTTCTGCTTTTTTTTTTACTATTTAATCGAGCTGCTTAATGCAGATATTTTGTTCAGCCTTTCAATAAATCAAGCTAAGTATAAGCAGTAGATCTTTCTGACCTTCCTGATAGTGCTCTGGGTATGTGTGAGGTTGACAGGATAAACAATTGCTGGGGCGAGGCTTGAATTTTTTCTGGGATTTATTATTCCTGAAGCTGTTTTGCGCCATATACACATTTTAGAAAAAACAAATGACTTTAAAGTGCAATTTTTCATCACTCTACCACAAAACACAGAGATTCATCCAACCAGGAGGACACATCTGCTTAGATCCATTTATTTGTCACAAGTATTTAGCTTAAATTTGCCTTAAATTAAAATAATTGTGTTATGGAAGTGGCTGTTAAAGGCAAGCCTACAGGGAGAACATTGCTATCTACAGTATATACCGCAATGGTAGAAAAGTCTTTCAATTCCAAGGATATACAAATGAAGAAGCTGAAACAGAGCCACCCCAGAGCTACGTATCAGACTCTACAGTCTATGTTTAAGTTTATAACCGTGCAATTGAGAAAATGTAATTAACATACAGAGTTGATTTAGGTTGAATTTTCCTCATGCAACAAATCAATGAACCCAGACCGGTCAACAACTCCTGAAATGGAAAATCATTAAGGTCCAGACCGCAGCCTGTTTGAAATCTAATGGTGGCACCTTTAGGGACCTGTTCATATAGAAATGCAAAAACTTGGTGGACTGGACAGTGCTGTGAACAAGAGTGTGCCAGATGACGTTTTCTAATAGAATTTTCCTTTTTAAATGTGTGCAATACGATCAAACTGGACACATGGAAAATGAAAAGGCTTCAGTCCCGTGCTTGACCTTAAAATAGGCCTCTGTGTGAAAATGACAAATCAGTTAATTGCAGGATGCTTTAATAGTTGAGGTGATAAGAATAACATTTTAATTCGGAGAACTTTCTCTCTCACACAGGACTTCCTGATGGAAACGTTTATCATGTTTAAAGATCTCATTGGGAAAAACGTCTACCCCTCAGACTGGATCATCATGAACATGATGCAAAATAAGTAAGTACAAATTTTCTGGGCTCACGAACAAACAAAGACATGTGAAATCCATATAGCCTTAATTTCTGTTCTGTTGCTAAGGAACAGCAGTCAGAATGGGTAACAATATTTTTTTGGGCCGTGCCCCCCCCCCCCCCCCCCCATGCAAATATCGGTTACAAGGCCTCAGCAGTGTAGCAATCAGCCGAGCAGTCAGTGCAGCCGCAAACAATCACATGAATTATAGATGCTTTGGTGGATGCCGTCTGCTAATCTCCAAACTTAGTCTCGGCATCTCTTTACTTTTTTCCTTGTTACGCCGCCGCAGCTCTCTGTTTTATTAATGTGAGCTTTGCCTGATTTTTATTTTTGTTAGAAATTTAGAAGGAGATCGTGGAGTCTTGTCATGAGCCTTGTTCATATTTTCGGAGCAAGTATTTGAATTAATGCTTCCATTAGACTCTCTTCATAAAATAAATTCAGTTTGAAATTTTAAATGTGAGAACATGCAAGTGGATGGAAAAAGGCTTTGTTTGTTGTTTTTTTTTACTGAGAATGAAAAAGATTATGATTTCCCCACCAGCATCCATGCTTTATGTTAAGTTCATTTACTTTGGAAATGTACAAAATCATTTGTAAGTATGTTCTGACTACTTAGTGTTTGGCTTTATCTTTAACATAGTTTTACTCACAGTAGACTGTCAAAAGAAGAAGGCCAGAATTCCGTAGTTGTCAAACTACTTTTTTAATCTCAATTTACCGGACCAAAAGAAAAAAGGATAAACATAAACTGGGCTGATTCGGTTTGGATGCTGCTTGAAAGTGGCCATTTTACAGCAGGTGCGGTGCTTGTCGCGGCCCCCTGCCTACGCCTTCCAAAATCATTCCAGCGCCATCACCGGCTTGGACATTTGACTCGAGATTGCATCGCAACTCATTTTAGATTCCATTGCCTTCATTAGTGCGTTTGATTGCCGCACGCCATATTCATTTTAAAATTCAGAGCGCTCCCTCCTCAAAACATTATCTTCCACCTGGGTCACAAAGCAGACACTGGTGTATCTGTGCCAGGAAATCTCCCCGGTGTGCTGCAGGTGAGCAAATCACATCTGTTCTGATGTAGACCCACTCGAGGGGGCAGCCCTCACCCTCCTGTGCCCCACTCTCAATACATCAAATATGCATGCCTACACATCCATTCAATGTACTAACAAACTCATTCAAAAACCACAGACCCACTGCAATCCCGCACTCTCATGGCTCTGATTAGTATCACGCAGCTCCCGCGGATCATTCTAGTTGCTGCAGCATATGAATTATTTTTTGTTACACTCACATGTTTGAGTCCAGTGTGTCATCTCCTAAAGCTAAACCCAATCTCTGTCGCTTTTTTAAAATCTTTTGTCTGCTTGCACTTGTTTGCAACAGCTAAAAGATTCATTCGGCATTCTGGCTTCATTCGGCATGTGGCTGAATGCGCGAGCCTGAATGTTAAATCGGTCTTCAACTGGGTGAGAAACAAGCCTGTCAAAATCTGATTTATCTCAAGGCATTTATACTTGAGTCCATTTCTATATTACAGGTGTTGGCTTCCTGACAGATTACTAAGGCTCCTCCATTTGCAGTCATCCGCCAGAGTTTTTTTTTTTGATTGGGTAGTTTATTGCTCAGAGGGAAAACCCAGGGTGAGACATTAAGGACAAAAAAAACTGAGTCCGTGGTGGTTTCTGTAGCCTTACAGATCTTCTGAGACTGTTTTTCCTCTAAACTCATTTATATGGATGAAGTGGTTTTAACCTGCATTTCTAACTACTTGGGAGATAAATGGAAATGAAATCTCTGGGAAACTTTTGTGGCCCCTGGAACAGGGTGCCGGGGTTGAACGTTTGAAAAATATAGGTGGGGACAGTGAAACATGCTGGAAATGTGCCCAAAGTTCAGAACAAATTAGATGAAACATGCCAGCATCAGCCAAAGTAACAGGGAACCTTAGTTTGAATTAGAATTGTGTTTTCAATTAACTGTAATAATAGAATAATTTAATCTCATTATTTTAGATTATTTATTTTTAGTAGATCATTCCTATTTTAAACAACACACGACACAGTTTTTCTATAACAAATCTTTGAAGATCTCTGAGTCTTCACAGCCTCTTGTTTCTGAGCAGTTCCCACATTAACCACGGGAGTTGCAACTCCTAGCATCAGCAGACAGTTCTTTCATGTCCACACATTGTGATGGCATCGCTAATGAGATGGGCATCACCTCCTACTCCTTTTTTTTTTACCCATCAGCTTTTGCTTCCTCCAGGTTGCAAACTGATTTATGGGCTCTAATTGCTCCAGTGACAGCCGCATCAGCATGGTTATACACCAACTACTGTTCTGTGGCAAACTGGTCGTGACTTAATAGTGACAGCTAATTGGAAATAGAGATGGGCTCCCACATGTTGTCTAAATTGATAGGGTACAAGTTTGCTTATGTAGGTTATTAGAAAGCCTGATTACATGCACCCCGATGTAGATATTTCTAAAGCATCAATCAAAACAACGTTATTTAGCAACTTTGTTTTTTCCGCTGTCTGGCCGAGCATTTGAATGGAACCAACAATACGGCCAGATTAACAGAAGAAGAATTAGAGTAATAATGATGACAAATCTTGAAGTGTAATTAGTGAAAATTTGCAAATGCATTCTTCCACTCAGACAACAGCACACTCAATTTTCTCTAATTACTACAAAAACAAATAGATATTTCACAAATAGTTTCATAACATGTCCGGAAGTCGAACATTTAATTTAGTCCCACTGTATGGTTACAATTCTTCTAACCTGAGATGCAAGCGAAAAGTACATACATGGTTTGATGGAATAAAGTGATCTGCCATTAAATTTTATACTGTATTTGAAGAAATAGAGGCAATTTAAGTAAAGTGTTCCCTTAGTGAATAAAACTAGAGATATTGATTTGCATTTGCTGTTAATAACAAAGCTGCAAAACAAGCCTGAAGGCAGCTATCTAATATTTCCTCATTTTTATAAAATGCAACTCACTTGTGAGGTGCCTTGACTGGGGAAATGCACATTTTGAAACATCTTAGCCTTTGCTACGTGTCTTCAGAAAGATATATTCTTTAACATATTATTTTAAACCCAAATTCAGTTTACAGTAAAATACTCATTGGAACCATTATTCTTTGAAGATTAGTTTTTCCCAATGTACATGTACACAGCCAATCATTTCCCAAATATATTATATTGATTTCTTAGAATAACTCCTGAACTAAATAAAATTCTGCATTAAATTTAGATGAGACATAGAAAACATTTTTATTAAAAACAAATTCATCTTAAGTTACTCTAAATAAAAGATTCTATGTATATTGGTTATTTAAAAAAAGAACGTGGACTTCTGTTTTGAAATTGAAATTATGTTTCATTTGAGATCCAACCCTCTCAGGACTTTGAGGCACACTTCAGCAGAAACTTGGTGTACATGTTGCAGCTCATTTAAGGCTCACCACTCTAAATATAACTGACATTTTTGCAATGCACTCGATGGATCCTCCTGTCATGCAATTACTCCCGACTTTAGATCAACAGAATGTCGAACTGAATGGCTCCATTTCATTTCTGCATCTCTAATGTGCATTTAATGTGCAATTCCAATAAGTATTGATGCACACAGTAATCAACAGTGATTAAAAGGGCATCCATGACATGAGGATTGGGTCCCCGATGTTAGTATCCTAAATAGAATTCCCATATGCGCTGAGTTTAATTCTGGTCGAGGAACCACGCATTACCTGACTATGGCTTCAGCAAGTGGCTGTAAAGGAAAAGTAAAACTTTCTTTTACTTGTCTTGCTCCATTTAAAAAGTCAAAGCAGTTTTTTGTTCAACTCTGTAATTTCCCACATGTAATTTGTTTAATTCCTGAAAAAAAACCTGAATGTTAAAGGTTTGCCCCTTTAGAATCCATTTTAATTGCTTTGTGATTCATTAAAAAAATAATAATTGTACAAGTCATTATCTCATGCGTTGTTCTATGTGAACTTTGCCAACGCAGTCTGAATCCAGTAGAAAAAGTTTTTTTTTTGCGCTCACTGGTGTTAAATTTATAAATTAGCCTGTGTTATTTCATTAATAGTCCATTTAACTCTTCACAAAAATTGTCTCTGGATAGTGACCAATCTACTCATTTAAATGCAGGTGGAAAGTAAATTCCAGAAACAGAAAATTAATTCACACTAACTTATACTACTTCAGAGGGACAATAATCTGTTCAGTATTTGCTTAGATTAGTCCTAACTGGCCTGCTGCTCATTAGTCATACTTAAGATTTTCACCTAAAGCCACAGTCAGATCCGAGTGTCAACATGTCCAGTATATATTTATAATAAAGTGCCTGCAACCGATGTCACTTCCTGCAGTCACAGCTGTGCTTTGTGCTGAGTGCTTATCAGCAAATGTCGTTTGCTGACTCACTAAACTTAGTGTACATTGTTTAATTTTTAATTGCCAAACATCAGCATGTTTTTGTTGTCTTTTATTTCGACAGTGCCATCAATATTGAGCTTTTCTGCTACACACCAAATTAGCTGTGCAAAATAGTTTGTATGCAGTTTATTTTTCTTAGGAAGCATATTGTCTTAAAAATCTTTGCAGTTTGTAGTTGCAATAGGGGACAGAGTTGTCTCCTTTTAAGCTCATAATAACCCCTCTCTGATAAAATGCTTCAACTGGAAAGTATCAGATTTATCCCTCATTGGTTTTCCTCCATTATTTAAGTGTAAAAATGGAGGGAGGAAATGAGACTGTTTTCCCTCAGTTTAAATGTTTAGTACTAGCTTTCCTACTGGCTTTCGTACTATGACTCAGCCCAGTTTCATTTTTGGGTCATCAGAGCTTAACTTTGTCTCAGTGGGGCTCACTGCTCAGTGTGAGCCCTCACAACCTGCTGGGCTGTGTTGTAATTATGTTAGAGCCCTCCTACGGATGAGAAATTGAGCTAAAATATATTAACATGTATATTAATTTGATAGATCAAGAGCAATGCGTTTAATCTAATTGAATTAACTGGACTGATAATGGAGGTTTTTGACCTTGCGTTATCTCTCAGCTCGGGAGATATGACGGCTATTCAGCAATAGTATGCAAATGGCTCGTGATGATTATCGCTGATGTGTGCTGAACTCAATTAGCAACTATGATCTGCTGATAACTCGCGATTAGCATATGGCCGACGTGCAGATCTTATGACAGTTTATGTCTGTTTACCATGGCAACACAAGGTTGAACGGTTTTTCGGTAGGATCGGGGGTCTCGGGTATGAGAAACGACACCTCAGTCTGTGCTGAAATGTAATCGCACAGCATGATCATCAGTCTGCAATAACCGGCTGTTTTTCTATTTTTTTTTTCATTTTATACAGACGCCTTGATCAAGCATATTCATCATAATGACGCCCCACGAGTAGTGGATCAGAATGACTCGTGTAGGAGGTGCTATGTTGCTTGTGTACTGTCTAATTAAAAAAGATAAAGTTATGTTTTTGTCTCTCTAAGCAGAAAATAAAGAAGTCTTGTGCTTTCCTGAGATGATTAGAGCTACCTTAATTTCCCAAAAGCTCCATCTCCTATTTTTGTGATGTCCCCAAAAACCTTCGGTGTCAGAGAGTACGTTTATGGTCACAGCTTGAAGTTCCAGGTCACTAGTCATGCATTTATAAAGATCCTACCAGTTTTTCTTTTGTTTTCTTATCTTCACCTTGAATTTTATTTTCCCTATGTGCTTCAACAACTGGCCATCACATATTTTGCAAGACAGCCAAACACTCCCCCCCCTGGTGGGTTGGCTTTGTAATAAATGCATGCTTAATGGAGCATGACATGATACTCAATTAATGTGCACCCTGAACATAGCATGTATTCAAACTCACAGTCCAATATTTTTGCACAACATATTTCAGAAAAATCGATACGTCAGTTAATTGTGTACAGCACCATATTTACAATATAGCACAAAGTAATTCAACCTGGACTAGTATAAACACAGATTTCAATAGTAAATTATATTTAGTTGCCGACTGCACTAAAATTTGTCATTTAAATTTTTTTGTCAAAAGTTGTTTGACAAATTCCTTAATCTTTTCTGAAATGGCTCTCTTGGAGGATCTCTGTCAGAATCCTGCACGAGGGGGGAGAATACATGCAATTTTCATCCACCTCATTAAGTTTTTCACTTTAATTAATGGCAGGATGTCCTCATACAGGAACTGTCCTGTCTGTTTAAGGCCGTTATTCGTCTGCATGCAGACAGACTGCTGGCCCTTAAATAGGCCTTTTGTCGGCATGGTTCGCATTAACTTGTGAACTGCAGTATAACAGAGAGCCGTGTGGGACACTGGTATACAGATGGCATGGATCATCTGTGTAGATAGGCCTGGAAGTTTCCTCCACCGGTATCATAGGGCAGTTGTAACGAACCATAAGGGCTTTCTTCTACCTTAAAAGGGAAAATCAAGGAGAAATTATGATTACAGCTGCATTTTCCTTGATGAGTCATATTTAACCAGAAGCTGTGCAGAGCATTGATCTTGCTCTTCTCCACACTGTGTGACCCAGAAGTTGAGCTGTGTGCAGCATGACTGATGTTTGAGAATGTACCGTTATATTGGGATAACATACGGTTAGAGTATGTTTAAATTGTTGAACGATGTCCTTCTAATTAAAGTTGGTGTAACACCGATGTATTGATCTGTCAAAGATTCATGTCCCCGGAATGAAATGCACAAAATGTAAAAGATTGCACCTATGTTTAATATGTTTATGAATGATCACAAACAAACACAGTTTTATGAAATTCTAAATTATGAAATACCAAAATTAGTTTAAAGGGCCAAACTCAATCGCTTTCTGAAGACAGTCCCTTAAGATAACACCAAAATGATTTAATATTGATTTTATATATTAAAAAAGGAAAGCAATAAGAGGACATGAAATCACGCAGCTCTGACTGATGGTTTTCATTCATAAAAAAGATTGATGCTAGTGGCCATTGCAAAACAAACTAAAAGCAAAGCAAAAGTAATAGACCTCAAGTGGTAGTTATAACTAAAGATTACACACTTTAGGAGGCATGTAAAAGTTAATGTAGATTTAATGCAGATTATTCTAATGATCAGGGAATAATGCTACAAGTAAAGACGAAAAGAAAGTTTCTCATTGTAATTTGTACAACTTATTATTTGTATTTACAGGAATCAGAACATATATACAGTAGTATAGTAGTTTATCCTGATCTGAAATGCTAATAGAGGCAAAAACAACTTGGAGGCAGGTTCAGGAAGGAAGTATGATGGGCTGTCATTGTAGCCAAAGCATATTTATTGAAGGAGACCTATATTTGTGTCATTGGTGCATTTTGGTCCATGTTATTTGTTGCTCTACATTTGTCGGTATGCTAAACTTTTATTTGCATCTCGTAGGTTTCGCAGGTTCTAGAGTTTTAGTGAATAGAGGGATATTCATTCCTGTGGTTATTTATTGTTATGCTCAGTTAAGAAAAATGTGCACCTTTTGACTTTTTTGCTCTAGAATTGTGCTATATATATATATATATGTTAAGACAGATAAAAATAAACACTTAAGCTCTCATTGGGCTTTAGCCCTCTTAGTCCGGACATGCAATGGGAGGAAATACATTTTAGCGTTATTCCAGCTCTAAGCAAGCAGCTATATTGACATGTTCACAGCTGCAGAAAATTGAGTGACTTGTGCAGAGGGGGTGTCTATGCCGGTGCTCACTGCATGGTGTTAATAGGCTGCCTGAGTGCTTAGGTGATGTGAGGGGTCTGGCCAGGAAGCCAGAGAAATGGAGTTCTAATGGGATATCCAAAGGTGTTCGATGACACTTAACCTTTTCCGGCTAATGACTGAGGTCACACAGAGTGTGTATCGCACGTCAGTCCCAGATAGGATTTTATCAGCAATGAAGATAAATGTGGGGCATGAATATTGTATGGCTTGGAAGTACCCCGCTCTCCCAGGCACAGCTGTGTTAACAGTGCTGATATTCCTGTTCGAGGTCAGGTTTTTTGGGGCAGTTGGGAAACCCCTGCCCGACGACGACGACGGCATTAAAATTCTGACCTTCCGGGATGCTCCCGGATCCGTAGATCCCCCCCCTGCGGCACGCCGCTGAAACACAAAGTCAGCCGCTCACCGATGATGAATTTGGGATTGTCGGTTCCCGCCGTGGGGACCCGGTTCTAATACGGATTTATCCGGCGCGAGGACAAAGGCAGAGCAGTCTCTCGGAGCTGCCAGAGCAGCAGATGTTTGTTCACCTGCCAGTGCTGGTTACACAAGCATTACGTCTCAATGCCGCTTTATTGCACGCTCGTGAAATTTCTCATGCAATCCGCCCGAGCAGCGGAACAGCTGTCCTTCTGCCACCTTGCCATTTTTCCCCGCATTCCGGTGTATCTTCATGTTCTAATTCTGACAGTCAGCTGTTGCTTTCCATGCTGATTTGTTGTTGTGTCCACAATATTCAAGTCAGTGGAGACAGAGGCCTGGGTTGTTGATTGTTAAATAAACGCATCTGGTAACTGAACGTGTTGTACTTGACATATTCTCACTACAATCAAATTAACTTTTTTTTGGCATCTACGTGTAATTCAAACATGATCGTATAGAATTTTCTTCCAGGGAATGAGAATGAGCCTGTAACTTCGTGAGTGACATTGCTTCCACAGATTTTCTGTTTCACAGTTATTTCAACTTGGAGAAAACATCTGATTGATTTCTAGGCACATTTTTCTTTGTTGGATGTGTAATGGAAAGCATCTATCAGCTAATTATTATGTCCTCTGCTTAACTCGGCTAATGCTTAGCTAGTTTAAATGAGTTTTCTACAAATCCATACGTAAAAGTAAAAGGGGAAATGTTTCCACCCCTTGTCGAATTTGGTCTTAACACTCTTTTCTTGTTTTTGTTCCCAGAGTTTTCCTTCAGGCTATTAGTCAGTATGCAGCGGTGCTCAACAAGAAATTTCTGGATCAAACCAACTTTGAGCTTCAGGTGAGCACTGCACCATTATAAACCTTTTTTTCTCTCTAAATTACCGTAATTGCCAGCATTTTTATGTCGGTTGCTGAATATTTTAACCTTCTCACCCTTGAATAGAGCAACTGCTTGCTTTTTAAATGACATATACAAGAACATTGTCTACAGCTAAACTGCACTGAGCTTTTAAAGCAAGATTAAATAATGTAGCTGTATTTGTATGTCTGAAAGCACTCAAAGTTGTTTTTGTCATTTATGAATAAAACTTCTGGATGTGTTATTTTATCTATTCCTCCAGTTCACAAAAAATCTTTGCTACACTTGATATTTAAATCGTCGTGTAGACTCAGTTCGTATACATGAATTGAGCATGTGAAGATTCCTTTAGTGGCTTTCATTGCCTGATTAAAAGTGTGCTGTGGAGGACATCGGCCTAAATCACCGACCTCCTCACCCTCTGGGACAGCTTCCCGACACAAAAAGTGGAACTAAGTCATCCAAAGCTTTTGATTTAATGAAACCATAAAGCTTCCTGGCCCTCGTTGTCTAGCACCGAATAACATTGTTGTAAAACTGGCTGTAAGCTTTGAGTTAAACAATCTCTCTCCCCCCCCCTCTCCACCCTCCACCCCCACCACTCTTGTCTCTGTCTGCATCTGACTTAGTTGTGGAACAACTACTTCCACTTGGCTGTGGCCTTCCTCACCCAGGAGTCGCTGCAGCTGGAGAACTTCTCCAGCGACAAAAGAGCCAAGATCTTCCACAGGTGAGTGCAAGCACCCAGAAATCCACAGGATGTCCTCATTTTGAATTGCCACGGCCCAGGTTAAGCACAAAGACGCCCAACAAAGGGACCAGACGCCCTTTGGAATCTTTCTACATGTACTTTCCCCCTTTGAACAAAGCAGGGCTATTTCATAGCATTTCAAAGGGATGAGCACATGTACATAAATCTCTGGCATGTAGTTATACTCTAGATTCTCTCTTTGACTTAAGTTACCTGAAAACATTTCACGTTTGTTTTCTTAAAGCAAATAACGATGAGAAATAGCAATGCGATGCTGCACAGGATATGGATTCAGACTTCTGAGCGTTCGGCCTATACCATTTCCCTCCCACCCACATTTCCTGCTTTTTTTAGAAAAGGCTTTCATTGACATTAGTATTTCTCTGAGGGTCTAATAATGCATTCAAATGGACAAATGCTTTCTGGGAAGACTTGGAGCATATTGGCTCTCATCTTCATTTGGAGGAGCCTTTGTCAGTTAAGTATACATCACAGCGGCCCATGCCTGACAGTAATACTGCTTTGTCGGCCAGTGCTAAGTTATTGGGCATGATGAACTCCCCCATAAAAAAAAAGAAACCACTTCTTATGCCAGACACTGCACAATGCAGAGGTAAGACGTTCCCCACCACGTTGTTGACTTAATACCTGCTATTTCTGGTGTTCATGCAGAAATAGATCCCTGCTGGGCTGTTTTCATATTTCATTCCCAAATTGTCGAAGCCAAGTGCAAACTGTTGTTTTGCGTGCACATTTAGTTTTTTTCCGGAGCAAAAAAAAGGTCATATAAAACACATTTTCAAATTTCAGCCCATGCTTATCATCAGTTCCTGTGCCTCTGTTCAACTGCTACTTCCCTCCCCACTTTTCCCTCTTTTTCTCTTGTGTGCTGTTGTGTCTTTCTGAGAAACACAGAACAAGAAAAGTGAAATAAAAGATTTGTGGCATGCTACTCTGTTTTTTTTTTTCTGTCTGAATTATACATCAGTCAGCGCTCTTTGTGCAATTGTTGTCCACCTCTGATGTCTGTGTTATCATAATGTGGTCCTGAGACTTTGCAACAAACCGCTGATTACAAGTTCATCTGGGCTGAATAACATGATGTGTGTAGTTTTTGATTTTTGTTTCTACTCAGAGTTGAGTGTGCTTTTGTCCTTTGCTTTTCAGCTAAAATCCTGATTTGTAGAAATGGATTGCAACTGAATTTCTTTGATCAAGTTTAAATTGGTTCTGATGATCTTCAGAACAAGCTTCACAGAGTTTGTAAGATTTTCAAAGACAATCCATTGCACCCAGTTGAAATTCGTAAAGAAATGAAAAAACAGGAATCTTTGATCTCTTAAAAAATAGCCTTTGTGCATAGAGTTGGAAACTAAGTCTATGCACCAAGAAATAACCAGTATTTCCACACCCTTTGCAAAAACAACTGTTACGTTCACATTAAACATGTTATTATCCTCCCATAACCCCTGTGCCCAAAAAAGCAGCTAAGCCCAAAAGTCTAGCACATCGTTTTCACATCCGATAAAAAAAATTTTTTTTAGTTTAAACTACAAAAAAAAATATATGACTTCAGAGGCCAAGGAGCTCCGTGCTAACCCAAAAACGGCTGGATAAATGAGCAAGTAGCAGTGTCACTGTTATGATTCGCTCATATGAGTGATAAGGAGAGGGAGCGTCATGTTGTCAGGTCTTGTGAATGTCTTTGCTTGGAGCTTTGATCCCATCTGAGTTGTCGGTACAAGCCTCTGCTTGTCAATCACGCGCCGCTGTTTCTGCCGCTCTCTCTTTTTTCTTCGCCATCTTCTCCCTTTTCGTCAGCTCGTACCTTCGCGGTCTCCTCCTTTTCCCCTCTCGGACCGTGATCTTTGGCCCCTCGACCCGGTTGCGTTATACTCTGCTGAGACCCCTCGCCCATGTCCCACTGCGGACGAGTTTCTGAGCAAACCTCGGGGAGCTCTCCGCCCCGTCGCTGACAGGTGTGCATTGTCGGTGCTGACAGCCCGACAGTCATAGCTGTCTGTCTCGCTGCCTGCAGGAGTCTGACAGAACAGCCCCCCCCGCATCTGTCCCGGCTCAGATGAGTACACCCTACCTCCCGCTCAGTCATCCCCACACCAGCACACGGAGAAAAGAAGACCCACAAGCTCACTAATGTAATGATGAGATGCAAAAACAGTGTAGAATGCTATGCATAATTCATCCTTTTTTTTTACGTGCTGCTATACAATCGTTTAGAGGCATTTATTCATGTTTAGCAGTTTCTCCAATACTCAAAATCAGTCCCAGGGTTCTGTACCGGTGCTCCTTCGACACTCATAGAGTGCTTTGACCCGGCCAGGAAATAAAGAGGTGACAGAGGTCTTTTTTCAGGGCTCTGTCAGTGCTCCCCCCCCCCTTCCGTCAAAATACATTAGCGCGCCTTGCTGTGGTATTGAGTCTGTGGAAGCTTGCGAGGGCCACTGGATGCTCTGAAGTAGCACGACGTGAGAAAAAGCCCGAGTTGATATTAGTTTGGGGTCAAAAGAGCTGCCGCTGTTTCTATTTCTTTCCAGTTTCACACCAAAGTTTCGTGTGATCAGTGCAGAAGGAAGAGAAAACTGGAGTCGTCCCACACTTCTCGGTGTTACAGTCTAATGTCAGAAAATACTGGTAGAACATTGCAGTTCTCCCAAAATGTTACCAGTTAAAAGGGGAATTTGGCATGACTTTGACATCATTTCAGATTTAAGAGGTCTCAAATTCACTCCTCTTTGAAGGAAAAGAGCGTGAAAAATAGAAGGTGGTTGTTTGCTTGAAAAAAACAGCTTTTAATTCATATTATGTATTTTTTAGGGCTGCAGATTTTTCTTATGGATGCATTGTGATTGCTTGCACTCGGGGTTGTCATACTGCGGTAATGATTCATTCCCTAAGGAAATAGATGTTGCCAGGTTGAGTGAAATCAGCGGAACAATTACGGGGGCTCTTTCTGCAGATGGTTATAGCACAGCATAGTCGGAAATAGCCAAAGACGTTCACGTCCAATCTTGAAAATCTCATAAGCCGTTTTTCACACTTGTAAGGTAGTTTCTAACAAATAAGAATTGCTTTTCAAAATTGTACAGCATCCCCAGGTGATCTGTAAATTGATGCCAGATACTGTTTGTTAGTTTTCTCTCAACTGATGCAAAAGCATATGTCAGATTAGCAAAAAAAACACAGCACAGCTGTTGGGGTAGATTTATGCTACATTTTCTTTTCCCCTCCCTCATTTTTTATCAAAAAATTTGCCGAGCCAAACACACAGATTGACGGCAGACTCCGCTCCAAATTCTGAAACCCGGCGTTGAGGTTCAGTGCAGGTATTCCCCATGCTGAGGTTACAGTGAAAACGCATGTAATTACACGTCAGCAGGTAATGGTGTGTTTAACGTGTGATTTGATAAGTCGGTAGATGCAGCGGACTGCTTCCATTTTGTTTTTTTTCATGTTGATGGTTGCACAGGATGGCCTGATTTTGTACACTGGCTCTCTGCTTCCAGTCTTGTTAGTCTCTCCATCATTCACTCTTTCCTCCTCCCTCCTCTCCAACTAAGCATCTGTCCTTTTGCTGACCTGGGACATTGAAGGCAGACAGACAGACAGGCACTGAGCCGCCACGGATATTGGCTCATGACCTAAACACGACCTAGCTGATCAGCTTATGAGCCCCGAAGACAGACAGCGGATGGGGGGCATTGTTTCAGCTGAAAATCTTTTTTGGATATAAGTACTCGTGTACAGCCTGAAAACATCCTCGTGTCAACAGAGGCTGCCTGATCAAACACATCAGCTCATGTCATTCACCCCTTGTGTTTTTCCGCATCGTCTGATGTACAAACAGAGCAGAAGACACACTCACAGGCAACAATGTGTGTGTGTTGTGAAGAGGCACAGGAGCAAATAGCGTTGCACCAAGTTTTTTTTTTCATGCACATTGAATCAAGAGCAAAATAATTACATTGTTTCCCTTTTTTCACAGTTTTCTAATTATCTGTAGGACAGCACATCACGTAATGTATTGCTATATGCTGCGTCTATTCAGGTCATTGTGAAGCAACAGTCTGATGGACAAGGAAATCCCCCCCCCCCCCGCTCCAAAATAGTAATTGAAAAATAGCAGCTATCTCTTTTTGTGTTGATTTCCACGTTCTTTTTTTAAATTTAGTATTTCACAAGTTGCCCTTTCGTCATTGGTAAAACAACCTGTTCTTGTTTTCATATTGCAGTACATTATCACTTTTAAGACCCTGATTGAATCTACATTTACATTTACATTTATACATTTAGCAGACGCTTTTATCCGAAGTGACTTACAAAAAGAGGGTTTAACATTCAACTACAACACCAGTTACACACTTACCTTACCTTGAGTGCAATATGCTAGAAGAGGATTTAACATTAAGGATTTAACATTCAACTATGACATAGATTACACAAGTACCATATATTGAGTTCTATATGCTATTAGGAAATAAGTTCTTTCGGGACTAGAGATACTCTCGAAGAGATGGTTCAGCTGGGGGGGTGTTCAGTTGTTGTTTTTTTTATTTCCAGCCGTCTGCATGTTGAAATGTTCTGGGTGAGTTTATGCGAATATGGAAATGTGCCCACGAACACCTTAGATAATTAACAGCGAAAAAGGAATTTCACCCATTTTCTGTTCACACTTTGAATGCCGTGAGCTGACAATAGTTTGTCTGACACTTCTTTCCTCCATTTATGCTTTAGGTACCAGGACATGAGAAGACAGATTGGCTTCGAAATCAGGGATATGTGGTACAATCTCGGTAATTCAACTCATTCTTTGTGTCAGTGTTGTTCACGTTCACCTTTTAAATGCAGTTTCTTTCTGGGTGAATTTACACAAAGTTCTCTTCATAAGTGACATGTTCAGAATTCATAAATTCTCAAAATGTGATCATGATTTTTGAGCTAATCAAATATTCAGGGAGGCATTACATCAGCATCTAAATATACTAAAGCTTGGTTTAATAAGATGTGTAAGCAATGACGTCTTAGTGGAAAGAAATTTTATTGCAACCCTGGAATTAGGAAATCTGATTTATGCCCCTGTGCCTCTTCTGGTTGTTACCAACACCATCTGATCCTTTAATCAGTTTTCAACTAAATTAATTGAAGCTATTTGGATTTTCCCACTGTTAAATTTGATTTTCTTTTGTTTTTACCCAGTGTTTTAATAAGATGTTATTTGCTTCTTGACTGTAACTCAGATGAAGTGAACCTTGTGAGTCATGATGTTATTAGCTTTAAATCTTGACAATCTTAATGCAGTTATTTTGTCCAAGTTGTAGTCTCCACATTTTCTCATTCATGGAGCTCTGTGCTTACTGTCTTTTATGGCCTTTCAGGACCCCACAAGATTAAATTCATCCCCGAGATGGTGGGCCCAATTCTGGAGATGACCCTAGTTCCTGAGATAGAGTTGAGAAAGGCCACCATCCCCATCTTCTTCGACATGATGCAGTGCGAGTTCCACTTCACATGCAGTTTTCAACGGGTGAGTCCTCTGGAGAATTAAATGATTGTAGTGAATTACCGTATGGCAGCAATGAACAGAGAGGCGTTGATAAGAAGGATTACCAAGTAAGGGGAGTCCATCAGATGGAAAGATTCATAGCCCAAAGGTTATTTGTCCTTGACAATTATCAACAGCCACCATAAGTGGAATTTAATATTATGCCTTGTTACAGTGCAGAATTAAGCCTTCCTGTTAAAGGAAATCTGTTTGGTTACAGCTGTTTGTTCATCTGATGTCATACATTTTTCATCCCTGGGAGGGGCTAATATCAAATAAAAAAAAGTTGTTCTGGTGGTCTTTTTAGTCCATTGAATACTCACAATTCAAGCCTCAATCATTTCTCCGTTAGTTTTTATCAGTTGTTCAGTCTGTTTTTTGCCATTTAAAGCAAATAATCGATAAAGATCTTAACCTTTGGAGGCAAATGGTACTTTTTCAGGCTTGGAAGGTTATATAACCTCTCAACACAGACAACAGTCTTCTGTTGTGTGTTTGTGTTGGACCAGTAGACAAGTACATCAAGAAGAAGGGGAAATTGTTTTGTTTCAGCACATAAAAAGTCCGTTTTTATACAGCTGCTACATACAAATATTAGAGAACCAGGTCCATATATCATTGTCAAGAGCTTCAGCAGCAATAGAGCAGAAGTAAATGGGACATGTCTCATATTTCAGCCTTGTTCTGTCTTCAAACAAAACTTCAACTGATAAAGAAAAGCTTTTTATAATGAACAGAAAATACCAGCTCACAGAAAGCTTCACTGCTAGAGAGGACGATAATAGTCAGATCCCAAAACCCCTCGGACCTGATACGAGTAGAGGGTGAGATACGGAGATGGTGTTAATGAATTGAAAAATTAGCCGTACTCATTATTTATGCCTGCTCTGTCTAATTGCAGTTTGAGAACGAGATCATCACCAAGCTGGATCACGAGGTGGAGGGGGGCCGCGGAGATGAGCAGTACAAAGTTCTCTTTCAGAAAATGTAGGTGCTGATTAATGGGCAGGGTGACACCTGAGCCTGTCACAAGTTAGATAATGCTAATTACAACATAACACCCCTGTAAATAACCACAGAGTGCTAATGATCACACGACTTCTCACCACAGCTTGTGAAATGCTTACACGTAATGGGAAAAACGGTCACAATTTTCCACATCCTGTGCTGTAAAATGTGGTTGTTTATGGAATTCAAGGAAGCTCTAAATATTGCTTTGGAATCTGTTTCTTCTCGATTATCATCTCAACCACAAAACACAAACGTTAGTTTGCTGGAGCATTGCCGTAAGCACAAGTACCTGGCCAGGACGGGCGAGAACTTTGTCACCCTGGTGGTGCGTCTGCTGGAAAGGCTGCTGGACTACAGAACCATCATGCATGATGAGAACAAGGAAAACCGGATGAGCTGCACTGTCAACGTTTTGGTAAGATGGCCGGGATCTCTCAATGCACAATCAAGTAACAGTAATGCCTAATGCATCTAAGCCTCGTCATTAAAGGACACTTTTAAAACTACTAAGATATTACCGGTTAAATGTTTTTGTGGGTTGCTTTTATCAGTGAATGGACCTTAATGACCGAGACCTATTCACATACAAAGAAAACCAGAAATATCTTATTATGTCACGGTGTTTAGAGATCTTATCACAGAGCAGCTCGCCTGAACCACCTGGCATTTTATTCTGGTGGACAGAAATGTCAATTTCATCCCACGTCTGCAAGCACAGAAATACTCAAGAAAAATGGTTCAACTCTGATCTGTTATCTTTTCTAAGTTGTTCATATTCTTTAACTTCCTGCTGTAACGCCTGGCCATTTCCTAATTATTTAATAAGCCAAATGAATGCTCTTAAATTAGATCTTTGTTTTTACAGAATCTTTGGAAGTGTTGTGTAGCCTAGTCCTGTTTTAATACCTTGTCTTTGTGATGTTATAGAACTTTTACAAGGAGATAGACAGAGAAGAAATGTACATCAGGTAAGACCCAGATCAACATTATGCTTGTTGTATATATTGATATACTCCAACATTTTCTGCGAAATACAAATGTACATTACAGGAAATAGGCCTTTTTTATTTGTACATATCCTCAGAAATACAGAATAAAAAACAGCCCTCCATTTCCATCTGTTTTTCAAGTGTTGGGAGGTAATATAACCTCTCAACACTTGTCAGTGCAACTGTCTGTCTATTGATAACGTGTGAAAGGCCCTCAAAGATTTGATCCCTAAATCTGTGCTTTTTATTTTCAGGTACCTGTACAAGCTGTGCGACCTCCACAGAGAATGTGACAACTACACAGAGGCTGCCTACACTCTGCTGCTACACGCAAAACTGCTGAAGGTACACAAACACGACACTGGCAACAAATAACGGTGGAAGTAAATTATGTATTTTAAACCACCGCAAAGCTTTAGTCTTGCTAATTTCATTTAACCCAAGGCCTTACGTGAGTGTGTATCTCTCAATTTGAGTGTGCACAGAAATGAAAGGATTTTGGTTTTGTCCCTTTAATTCCACCAATGTGTAAGACAACTGCTAAAAAGGCTTTTCACTGTGCTTATCGATGGCATTTCATCATATGAGTTTTCCTCCCAAAAAAAATGGTAATCACTGCTTTATTGTGGGGGGAAATTAGAAAATGTAAATACATTTCAGTCTTTCAGATCACACCTTTTGGTTATGTTGTCTTTCTCCCTCTATTTGTATCTCAAGCCAGAGTAATACTAGACTGATAAACAACATGTTTGGCTGAGACATCCTTATTCCTTATCTATGAATCAAAGTTATGTCAACAGATAATTTACATTTGTGTAAATATCTGGCTGCTTCAGCCTTTGTCCATGTCTTGAAGACAATAGAGCTGGCTGTAACTAAATTACATTGTCCTCACTGAATAAACACAGTTGCACTGCAGCAGTAGTTTTTCTCATTTTAAATCTGCTCCTCTGTGCCATCCTGACTCCAGTACACAAGAAAGAGGGCTTGATCATCATGTTGTGGAAGTTGGTTAATTTTCTTGCTCCGCTATCGATATAAATCCTCTTTTTTGTCTTGGCTGCTTTCATTTTAAACTCCCAAAGAGGCCCGCAGATGGAAAGAAGACTGAACAAGGATGAGTGATCAATTCAAACTTGAGTGTTTTACAATTGTACAACATTTCTAAACAAGCTTATCAGACCAGAGTGCTGATGTTGGATACCAGTTTTTGCATCCACTAGCATTAATAGAGTAAAGCCAGCTGTTGTTACAATTGGTCCTCCAGTGAAATAACAGGAGCAGTATAATGACTTTGATGAATCAACAGCAGGCTCACGAGCCGTCTACAAATAAATCCAGAGTTTCTTTCTGACGTATAAATGCTGCAATCCACCATTCAGCTAAACTAAAGCCGCCCTGAATCCCTTTTTCATATGACGTCATCACTTTACGGAGCAATTATATTTTACCCATCTCAAGGTCAGGTTTGCGGCTCAAATGTGACCATCGCTCCTGTCCTAGTTAAAAGTCTGAACTCTTTAGGTCATTCACAACACCAAAGAATTCTAATTAAAACAGGCTTGTAATGAATCCATCCTGTTGCAATGGTATGGAATGGAATGCTTTCGCTACACTTTGGCCTCTCAGATTATCTGTCTTCCTACTAATTCCATGCTGGTATTAACCCTATTTATTCTCCATACTGGTTTAACGAGCAAACACATATGTATTCCTTCTATGCTGTTTTGTTTTTGTTTTGCTTTGTTTTTATTTTTTGATTATTAAGGAAATCAAACATTTCCAGAAATATGATGAATTGGCTGCATGACTCCTTTCTGTCCAATGTAAGCAATGCCTTTATTTGCTTACCTAGTGCTACTTTAGTTTAATCATTTTGACAATGATGGCCCACTTGGATACTGTTCTTCCTTGTGAAAATTTGTGCCAGATACCAAAACTACATGTGTAAAGTTTACTTTAAAAAATGAATAAATTGATTGATTGAATTTTCTTCAAAATCATAACCGGCCGAGGAAACAAGCAGATATTTTGGATTATCTGTAGACCAAAAAGAAATAAACGAGCAAAAATCAGTTTGATTGAAAACCATTGGAGTGCAAAACATGATTGGTGAAGATAGATCATCGTGGAAATAACTGTTTGCAAAGGAGCCCTTCGCGCAGTGGCTACAGAAATGTATTGCATTGATGTTTTCTGAACCATTCAATATATATTGATGCGTACATCACTAACCATGTCTCAAGTTTCCATCTTGACCTGCCAAAGTGTAGGACGACGTTAAAAAGAATTACACGTCAATTTCTCCCATTTGCATTGGCTGTAAGTCAGGAATTGATTTCTTTTCACCCGTGCACCTCTTGTGCTGCATTGTTTTGCACAGCATTGACCCCCGTGTTAAACTTGTTCTCGGTAGTGGTCAGACGAGCAATGTGCAGCCCACCTGACCCAGAGAGACGGTTACCAGGCCACAACTCAAGGACAGCTTAAGGACCAGCTCTACCAAGAGATTATTAATTACTTTGACAAGGGCAAGGTAAGAAACTACTCACAAGCTTTACTACGTTTATTTTTGTTGTTTTCTCAATAACATGCCTTCTGTCAAATCCCTGGCTTTGCCTTTACTCTTTTAGCATATTTAAATACCACCTTTGTCACTTGAGAATGACTACATATTCAGAGGAGCCAATTATGGGCTTCTCTTCAAAATACTTCAGATTTCTTTGGTTTTCCAGAGAAGAAAAATGTTTGTCAAGCTCTAAGCTTAGTCTGGAAGTTGCCAGCAGAACTAGAGCCAGAGCTGCTTGAGCATGGTGTCTGAAGGCTTTAAATGTGTCATCAGAGCAGGGACTCGGCAGCCACTCTTGGATCTCAAGCCAACTGTCACTCCGCAAAATATTGCCAGGGAAGCAACTATTTGAAAGGCTCTGGGACCAGCAGATGCATAAAAACTAGGACTGGGGGTATCAACTGAAGACAGTTTCTAGAAGTGTGACAGAAATCAGATTGAAAGCAGGCCAAGACGGGGTTGTCGCCACCACTCTCGCTGACGGCTAGCGGATCTGACCAGCAATCTGGACTTGGTGCACCTTCAGTCTGTCTCAGATCTGCTTAGTCCGAACGACTGTGTCGGGGAAGCCACTCAGAAGCCTTTCAACATGTTTGAGTAGCTCACATATATCTATGACACCAACCCAGTGCGTTGCGAATAGCAATAAGTAGATTGCATCTGGGTTTAGTGGTTTCGATCAACTGAAAGTGAAAAATGTTGACATGATAAGAGGAATTTATTTTCAGAAAGCTTGTATTGAATACTTTTGCCTGTGAAAAGCTAACAGAGACTCTGTGTTACTCCGCTGGCAGCAAATGAGTGTGTTATCCCGGCTTTAATCTTTGTGATTAATTCATCTTTTGACTCTCTGTGTACTCAATAGATGTGGGAAGAGGCAATCATTTTGAGCAAGGAACTGGCTGAACAGTATGAGAATGAAATGTTTGACTTTGAGCAGCTCAGTGCATCTTTGGTAAGTCGGATTATTTTGTTGGCTCCCTATGCCTTCATTGTAAGGCCATTTTCCACCCCAAAAAACAGGAAGTTTGGGGGCTTTTTTGGTGTTTTCTGTCACCAATGCTGCTCCCACTGAACACCTTTCAAACGGTTTAACTGGGAGAAAACTGTATTGGGTAGAGCCTTTTCATTCAGCCAGAAACTGTTTTTGATCAAACAAATACAACAGTCTTAAACCTAGTACAATACAACTAGTAAGAAAATGGTAATCTGAGTTTGTCATGATGAAAGATACCTGTATATGCTAATGTTTTAATAAAAAAGAAGGGAACATAGAAGAAAACAAAACCATGACGCTACAATTAAATGTTACCATGTTTTTGTTGACTGTGAGGGCATCACATTCAGTATATCGCAATTGTAAAGGTTTTCTAACCTTCTTAAATGTGCCATTATATCCCCCCCCAACAGCGGAAACGGGCCCAGTTCTATGAGAACATAGTTAAGGTCATCCGGCCCAAACCTGACTACTTTGCTGTTGGCTATTATGGAAATGGATTCCCTTCCTTCCTACGTGTGAGTACTTGGATTAGTGTAACACTTCCCTATTTCAGGGTTTTTTTTGTGTATGTTTTTACACACTAGCTGCTGTTGTGGGGATCACAACAACCCACATGATCTGGTTTTCATTTACTCAGAAAGATTAAGAAAACTAAGTCTTTACCCGAAAAAGAAAATCTTTTTTCAGTGTGAGAAAAACAAACTTTGAATACAAATGTGAAAGAAATCTAAAACATTACTTCCTGTCTCTGCATCTTTAATTTTCATTTCCAAAGCATCCCTTCTCATTTGAATTTAGCCTTTTTTTTCCTTTTTCGAAACAGAATGCTTTTGTTTTAATTAGTCCACATGAAGCCCCACCAAAAATACAAAAAACAAAAAAGCCCATTCTTGTTTGTCCATTCAAAAGGCTATCACGGGGCTTTATTTCCATCATCTGAACTTAAGATAGACACCATTTACTCCACACTACACACGTGGCCAGCATCACAAAGTATCCTATCACCACCCACACAGCCAAACCACACACCCAGTACAAAGGGAAGGGAAGTGATTCAGACACATTTTAAATTGCTGTTAGTGGTTGCTGAGTCATGGGCTATGTGCCCCCCTCAGCACTCCACACCAAACAAAGAGACCCATGGGGATTTCTTTTATTAATCTCAGCAATAGATGAAACTTATAAATCACCCTAATGTCATTTAGTAGAGTTTGTACATATTTAAAGTGTACATGACCCCCTGAATCACAACTAATGTTTATGTCCTTACTGTCAAAACTGGCCTTGAGCCAATATGATCACACCTTATCACAAATGAAGCACTGTATGCAGTTTTAAGGCCGGGCCTTTTCTTTGTCAGTAGATAAACGGCTAAACCACTGACAGACTTTCCACCACTTTTATCTTCTTCTTCTTGTGAATTCTTGTTAGAGCTTTTTTTAGGTTGTCATCTGGCACATCAATGAAGGTGTTGTTTTCTTGTCTTTGAGGAATTCATTTTGTCATCACATGCAGCACACTGAAAAGCCCCAAAAGCGATCCCTTTTCACTCTATTTTAAACAACTGTGCTCTCACTGGGGGTCTCTTGCTTCTCTCTGATCTCCATGTGCCCCCTCCAACCCCTTTTATCTGTCGGGGCAGAAACTCCATTACAGAAAAGGGGAAGCTACGTTGCTCCAATCTGGCTGGCTATTTAACCAGCCTTTTCACGATAGTTTGGACTGTTCAATTCATTTTTCAGTAGACTGACCTCACCTAAATAGCAGTCACACGGGGATACCAGGCCGTGTTTCCCAACAGGAAGTGGAGTGCACCTAATTTACCTTTTTAAATGTATCATTCTCTTCTCAGATTGGTGCTTGACTCACGCCTGTCACAATGATTATGTTTATCATGTAACCACAATTGCTTGAGATAATTGTGATCATGTCTGCATAATCATCATGATCATCTGCATTCACATGTTTGAAAAGCAGCTGGGTGAAACTGACAAAAGGTCATACTTCTTTGCCACTTTCCACCATTTAGTAGAGTTGCTAATGGTAGATATAATCCATTTCAGTGGTGTTGTTTTGGTGCATTACTGTCCTCTGCTGTGGCCAGTCAGCTCCGTCCAACATAGCAATCAGCCTCCATTCAGGCTTTTCTGCATGCCTTCGTTTTTCATAATTAACTCAAATTAAAGTCTTTCCTAACATGTTTAGTCTATTCATATTATTTAAAGACATTTGCTAACACAAAACATTTTCTATGCGTTAAGACAATTCTTTTGTCTTTGATTTAGTAACCCTTTATATGCCGCTTACCTCTAACATTATCAGTGGTGGGTCCTTATAGTGGTGAAAATAGCATTTCTTTCAGAATAGACACTTTGCTAAACCGTTTTAAATGTGTTCACCGTGGTGGTACACTTAATTATTATGTTAACAGATTTTCTTGTGAGTGCATTAGGAACTATTCAGGTAAGGGTGACTAATTATGATAAATGTAGTTCCGAGGGTTTTCGATCACGTCCAACATTGCAGTTGTGTTGCAGTGCCCCGAGGGAAAAGTCAGTAATGTGAAAAAAAAATCAATATTCTTAAAAAGACATTTTGTATCCACCCCCTCCACAAATTGATTTTATGCAAGAGTGCTTAATTCAGCTTCTTATGATTTATTAGTTCCTCATATAGTTAGACACTGGGGTATTTGTTAATTGTAAAATGTCCTAGATATCATAATTTGGTTTTAACTCCAGACTAAACCAAGTTATTGATCCTCATCACTCGTCTATAGTTTCATTTGTTTTGAAAAAACAAAACAAAACCTTTGTTTCTGTCCATAGAAATATGTTTTTCTTCTATTTTTTGTTAGACAGAATAAATATAAATTCATAATATTCATCATAGATTTTCTTTCTGCTCTTAAAAGGCTTTCTAATTCTGTTGGATATTTACTCACCATTAATTTCTGCTCTTACCAAACCTGACCTTTACTTAATCCCTGAATTGGGTTTCCTGTGACACCTCCCCTTATGGATCACTTCCAGATTCCAAGAGTTGGTTTGAAAGATAGCCTAAGACACCACATTCAGAGACACTGGATATGGGCTGTCATGTTTTATCTTTCAAAATGCTCCTCGAGCAAACCCCTGAGCACACTCAGGCAGATAAAGGAGCATTCGCTCATGCTTTTAGTAGCACTCCTTTTATATAATTTATTCTCGTTGAGTAATAAAACAAAATGACCTTTTCATCAGTCTCTGTGTTAGTTAACTGATTGTACCAAAGACTGATGGATATATCCATCCTCCTCTAGTCATATATTACAGATTCCTCTGTCTTGCTGCGGGCCTCTGAAAGATGTTGCATTCTGACATTGTGCATTTTATTTTAATGTGATGGTATTCCACTTTATAGTTTCTTTTTTGTCTCCTTATTATATGAAATGAACTTTTCACCTGCTAGTCTAGATAGAAAAGACAATTTTAGCCGGAACTCCTACAGAATAAGTCAGTTCACGCTGAGAGTCAAACGACTATAATGGCTCTGAGATGACTGTATGCATTATCTGCATTACATAGAATATGTAGCACGACTCAAGCAGTTATTCTCAGTGAGATTTGAAATATTTAAAGAAATATAATGTCAGCCGTCAATCAACTGACCACCAGTCAAAAACGGCAGCAATGTTTCGTCAGGCGGATGGATATGAAGACTGTAAATCAGCGTGCTTTTGCTAACTTGTCAATCAAAACAAATTTAAAAATGGCCCCAGGCATACATCATGGTTGCAATTACTTTAATTAAATAGGGAGTTGAGACATGTGCTGTGCATCAGCACCGAGCTTCCTCTGCGAGCTTTTTTGCTGCCATAATCTAATAAAGGAAGAGGTAAATGTTAAACTGAGCAGGCTGTAATCCCAAAGTAGGATCCCACGTCAAGGTGGAGAAAACAAGTGTTATTTATGGTACATCAATTCTGCTCCAAGAAAGGAAAGAACCTTTCAAACTTCATCATTTCAGTGCCACCTTTTCATCAGTTGAAAACATGTGAGCCAATGATGGTCTACATTAAAAATGCAGAGCTAATCCAATCTTTCAGTAAGGTGAAATCCGTCAAGTATTTGCATGAAACACTGACTGAAATGACTGTGAAATGCTTATGCAGAGGACTCACTGTAAGTGTTCCACCAATAAAGAAAAGTTCATACATATTTTCACATTGTGTTTGTATAGATTCCTTTAACTTTCGAAGTTTTTAATATGGAGATTATGACAATGCATTTTAACCGAGGCACAGCATCAGGCCAAGTAAATTTACATTAAAAACACACCTTTAATGTGGACATTTTATCATTGTCTTGTTTGTCTCTTTTGCCGTTATCCCTGGGTACACTCTCAGCCTCTAGATGTGTTCCCTGTAAATTCTCTGAGACACTGATGTTGACACTGGAGCACAGTGTCTGGTACATATTCATAAAGTGTGTACCTTATATGCATATAATGTGTGCAGATAATGAGCTTGCCTTCCGAATCGGCCTCAAGGTCTTAGTGTTTTTTCTTCTTTCTCCTGCAGAACAAAATGTTCATCTATCGTGGGAAGGAGTACGAACGCAGAGAGGATTTTGAAGCACGACTCCTCACACAGTTTCCCAACGCAGAGAAGATGAAGACGACCACACCGCCCAGCGAAGACACAAAGTGCTCCTCTGGCCAATGTATCCTCAGCCCAACATCCCTGAGTCACGACTTAACATTTCACTTATTACTTGTCTCTTTTTGAGGCATTTTTAAATGCAACCAAACCCAAAAAAGGAAAACTGTATAATTCGATTTCATTTTTATTTCAGCCTGTTGGTGATCAGTTGAGTAACTGTGAGTGGCATGTTTTTATTTAATGACAATATTGTTGGTACTGGTTGAAGTCTGTGTGAAGCCTTAAACCACACCTCATTTCTGTCTTGATTTGCTTCCAGTGAGCCAAACTGCAGCCAGACTTTCCCTACCTAAGGGTTTTCAATACACCTTTCAGACACTTGAGATAAATTGGTCTTGATCGATAGTTCTCCAGGCTTTCTGAAGTTCTTTCAAAGTTTTTTTATTGTGGGTTTGTTTTTGTGGGGGTGATATTGACAAGATTTTTGTTTTTGGGGGTTGCATTGGATCTTTTTCAGAGGCAAGTATTTTCTTATTTGTCCAGCCACTTAACACAAACCTATGAATCATTAAAAACTCAAATATTCTTCATTTTCAGAAAGTTTAAAATAAAAAGCTTTTCATAATTTAGTTTGTCTCCAAAAACAAGGGGCAGGCCAAACATTTTTTAGATAGAGCAGATCAATATTTAAATCACTAAAAAAACCTCAGTGAACTCTGTAAAGTAGTTTTTCTGATATTCCTAAATTATTTTGGTTTTCTAAAATCATTGGCTTGGTTTGCATTGTCCAATAGTGAAATCATATTTTAAATTGGTTGTCTTTGAACATTGGCCTATGGTTATACTGAATTATCCTCCAGTCCTGCCATTTCGTTGTCATTTAGTTGCTTTATTTCCTTGACGTTTCTGCTTAAGATATCCAATGTTTCACAGTCAAACCTGTCCTGAACCTGCCTGCCAAGTTTCAAAACAAGCCTGTGTCTGAACAAATTGTCAGGTAAGCTGGACGCTTTAAACACTTCCCCCCCCCCTTCGCACTCTCAGAGCATGTAACTCAGTCACACAGCGTGTATTTCTATCTCCCTCTGCCTAACTTGCTAACCCCGGTCAGTCAAACAGTCGGTGGAGCTTGCGATGACGTGCTAACAGCGCGTTAGCGTTTTGGCGTGTGATGTGCCGTGGTGACGGCGATTAAATCTCGATTCAAATGTGGGTCTGTGTCGAACAAATCCTGGTTGACCTTCTTGCTGTTGTGGTGGTTAATAACTTTCACCAGCCATCTGCTATTAGTCGCCGTGCCAAGTGCGACATTGTTTTTCTGCCATCGTTAATAGCTTTGTGTCGAGCGTCGGGGCCACGGCAAACACTGGGCCCCCGCACTCGCCTGTCTGCGTGCCAGCTGGGCGCCGCGGCGTTCAGCTGTGTAAATTCACTTTGATATGCCACCCATCGCATCAATGGACGGAATTAAAAGAAGGCGTTTACTTGGGGGAAAAAAAAAAAAAAACCTTTAGGCAAATTTACCTGGGCCCTGATCTTATCACGGCCCTGCAGAACCGGTCGCTTCCCCCCCCTGCTCCGATCCTTTCAGCTGAACCGCCGGCTTTGTTTGCCAGCTGCGTCTGAATGGAATATGTAACTCTGTTAATGTCCCGGTTCAGACGGACATGTGGAGAAAACTGACGGGGAATTACACCCCGACTGCCCGGCCCCTTTCTCTCGCCAATTCCATCTCCGTCTCTCACTTTCACCGCGCCGTTTCCCAGTTGTTTCTTTGTCCCCTTTTTTCTCCGCTTTGTCTCATTTATTCCCTCATTCGGTGAAGGTATCAGTGGCGCATAGCAATGAGACTGAGCCGTTTGAGCCAAAGGGTCACGCAGCAGGCAGAGCGGCCAATTCTGACCTTGGTCAGCAGGACCATGCTATTCCATCATCTCCACTCTGCCGACTCGCTAACTGTAAAACGCTTAATTAGGGTAGCTCAGCTGATTTATAGCATCTGTATTAATCTGTTTATTATAGCTGAAGTTCAATGGGTCTTTTTATTTTAGTTAATCCCAGGTGTTAGCTATTTTTGTCACAGGTTTTACGTTTGACTTGTGCACTGCCCTTTGCAAATAGGCCCAGAGAAAAGCATCTGAATGGGGGTGTAAAGCAAAAGGCTCAAGAGGCTTCTCTGTGTGGTTTTACTGTCACAAGAGCTTTCAGTTTAGTTAATTATAAGAAAATATGCAACGTTTAGTTGTTTCCGCATTTGATACTGAAGGGGCTTTGGAATAACACAGATTCATCGCATGTGTATTCATGATTATTAGCTAATGAAGTCAGATCATGTGATACCATTTTTGGAACGCAATACCATTACTGCTCAGCGCTCATTTCTACTGAGAGTAGAAATCTGTTGCGTTTTTTTTTTTTGTCATCACATATGCTCCCAGACAGCTGTTGCCCCTCCACAATGTGACACCATCACTTTCCCTCTGAAAAGTCCATTAACCCCATCTGGCAAAGTTCATCCCCGGTAGTCATGCTTCTGTCGGGCAGGCTGCAGCTTATCTGCATGTCGGACATGTCTGGTTAACTTTGGGAGCTGCCAGTGATGTGTTTGACCCAAAGATGAATTCATTTCCTGTGTACATTATTAGGCCATTCCTCAGATGCAAACCAACATGCTAAATGTCATAGTCCCATGCACAGCGTGCCAGGTGGAGGTTTGTCCTGTGTTTGGCCTTGAAGCAAAGCAATTAACATGTATCAATCAAGCCGGAGCTCGCCGGTAACTATTTTAATTTACTTTGGCTCAACATGTCTCCCTCCCCAGCTTCTACACAGTAAATGAAGTCCATAAATTCCAGTATTCCAGGCCGGTGAGGAAGGGAGAGAAGGACCCTGACAACGAGTTTTCGGTAATTGTTCTCTTTTTTCTTTTCCTTACGTGCTTTAAAATTTCTTTCTTTTTCTCTTTAGCTTGCTAGTTTGTGGGATCACTATTAACGGTAATTAGCATTTAAAAAATATGTACCGTGTCCTGCTTTATGGAGGAATCACAAAATTGTAATTATTCATAGACATTGCGGCGTTTGTGCGACGCAAAAGTTACCAGCTCGGCAACCTTGTGCAGCCCATTTAATTTATTTTGTGCAAGAATAAATTGGTAAGTCAATTGAATCAACCCTATTATTATAGGGGGCAGGTTTAAAGAAAATGAAGGTAGTCACATCTGTATTTAATTTTTCTATTTTCTTGTTTGTTCCTTTAATGAGAACAACACAGTTAGGGGATAGAGTCGTTTATGTTAGAATGTTTTGTTACAAACTCTTCTGATTGTTGCACATAGTGGATTACTAGCTCACGTTTCTGCCCCACACATATTTCTAGTCTGTCCCCGACTTGTTATAAATGAAGAGCCCTCTTTTACTTTGACAGACTTGACACAGACGATGACAAAGTCAGATGATCCAACTTTACTTTTTGAATGTGATTGAAGTTAAAGTTGAAAACAAAATGAAAAGGTTGACTGCGATCTAAATTTGCCCATTACATCAAATGACTCGTGCTTTTGCGCTTTCAGTATTTTCACGTAGCGGTGACGAGAGGAACAATTAATCACATTCAAACTTTTTTTCTTTGTGTTTACTTTGACATCAATTTGGTACAGCGGGACTAATTTTTAACTCATTTGAGACTTGGTCCTGTTAGCACACTGATTGATCTCTGTACCGACAGAGAGATTATGGATATTTAATCATAGATAATGTGTCTTTGTCAAATCTACTTGCCTGTGGATATGCACAAATCTTTTTAATGCTTCATCTCTCTCTCTTTTTTTTTAATACTCTGACACTAATAAAGAAAGAAATGTTCAGCATGTCTTCAAAGGAAGATCATCATTTCTTAAAACTATCATCTTTTGGCATCTTAATGTATTTCAGAGAGGTCAGATTTTTGGAGATTGGGTCTGTAAGACCCATCTTCAATGGGCTTCAGGTTTACATCACCTTAATCTGCTTCATGCAGCAACCGTCTTAACTGAGATTTAAGTACACTAGGAGCAGTAAGATGCAGTATTTTATTGCAAAAACACATAAGTCTTGCTCGCTTTTATGTACCTTCTTATCTTAAATTGTCCCCGACTCAGGCTTCTGTTCTTAGTTGTAATTATGGATCTGTCGTTTTGTCTCCAGAACATGTGGATCGAGAGGACCTCTTACTCAACAGCGTACAAGCTTCCTGGCATCCTGCGCTGGTTTGAAGTCAAGTCAGTCTCCACAGTGAGTATGAAGGGAGGAATCCTAATCAGATGAGGATCCGCAGGCTCGCTCAGAGTCCATCGATATGATTAGTCCACTTAAGCAATATAGACAAGTCGTCTGCCATTCCTCCAGTCCAATGACAGGGCACGTTCTCCCTTTGCCAAATGGCCCCCATTGATTTACCAAATACTGCCGTTTCCACCGGAAATACCCACACACCACACATACATCTAAAGGAGCAGTCGGACCCTCAGTCACTGTTGATTCTCTGCTCATCCAACTAGACCAACATTAAGATTTTATTCATTTCACTCTCTTTTAAGTGTTCAGAATGCTGGTCCTGTGTCCCAGTTTTGTCCTGCAGAAAAGGGAGTGTGTAGACATTAGACTTTGTGAGATAAATTGGAGAACAGGTACAGCAACAAGCTCTTTTGGATTGTTTTTATTGTGCCCTTAGTTTACCCTGATATAAATGCTCCACTTAGTCTGATTGGTCTAAAATCTATTACTTTTTATTTTTAAATTCTATTAGTCTCCTTTATGTCAGTGCTACTTAAAAGCCTTAAAAAAGGGGCCACCTCCAAACAAATCAGTTTAACAAAAGTCTGCTTCTTCTGCTCTCAGTCATCAAATGGCACCACATGACACTCATACGGCAGGCGATTTAAGCGTTCGATTCAACACAATGGTACACCCTTAACACTAAACTCCTGACTCCCAGTCGTGGGGCTGAGCTCTAGCATTTTTAAAAATTCAGAGCAGAAACCTTTTCCTTGAGGCTTGATTGAAAGATACTGTAAGCAGCAGCGTGGCCTTCAGATGAGCCGGGGAGAAGCCAGGTCCCCAAGGTCAGACTCTCTATTTAAAGCGTAATGACCAGGCTGAGATTTACCAAGCCTAATCCTTCCATCTGACAATTCTTTTTATCAAGCTGGCCTGAGACATACCGACACAGATTGGAGATTTGTCTTCTTGGCACAACATCTTTACTTTTCTTGGCAGGGGTCTAAATTTGACATTTGCTCAACAAGCCACTCGTGTTTCTTCTAAAGCCTTTACTACAAGGAGGTGATTTTATTTTTGCTCTCATCCATCCAAGTAATGTGCCCTTGTGGAGTTATGTGGCTTTGAGTTGGAATTTGCTATCAGACATGAGTAGAATGATGTTTTTTAAATTAACAATGTTTTGTGTGTTACTATAGAGATTATTTGCTCATCAACGTGATATGCATCTTGTTTGCGGAACACCAGAAAAGATTTCTTGCTTCGGTGTTCGTGTTTATGTCAACTTTTCCCCATTTGATGAACACGAGAAATAAATTGTTTTTTTATCACAGTAATAGTGTTTCTACGAATAGACTCAAACAGGTGAATAAGTATTGATATTCCTCCTTTATGTTTTTCTGTGTACAGGAGGAAATTAGTCCACTCGAAAATGCCATGGAGACGATGCAGCTAACCAATGAGAAGATCAGCAGCATAGTGCAGCGACATCTCAATGATCCCAACCTTCCAATCAACCCCCTCTCCATGCTGCTAAATGGGATTGTGGACCCAGCTGTCATGGGAGGTTTTACCAACTATGAGAAGGTAGACAACAGAAAAGTATTTGTTCTGTCTCGCTGTAGCTGCTTATTCTCTCCATTTTTATGTTTCCACTGTGATTTTTTTTTACACCCTTTTTGTTCAATTTTGAAAGAAATGAGTGCTGCTGAATAAATTGTGCCTCACATTCACCACAGCCCTGACCTCTCTTTTAGGGTTTGGGATTTTGGTATTTCTCCTATTTTTATTTTATTAGAGCTTGTGGGATGTATTGTTTGGTGAGGAGCCTCTTTGCCTTACCACCAAAGACCTCTGCATTAACCATGTAAATGCTGAATTACATGTTACAGCGACCAGCACTGTTAAATCCATATTTCATGTGCAGCTCAGTTTTAATGTTGTTCTCTCTTTAGAGCTGGTGTCAAATCCAAGCACGTTATTCATGTGGAGAAGTTCTTATATCTCATTGGCAGAGTTTAGAAGGGTATTTGCGCTCTTAGCCGAGTGTAAAGGCATTGAGTTTAATTTCCTTAATGTCCCATGAACACCAGTCATCGGATGCATTGTCAATATCTGCATTGGAAAAATATATATACTCGTTTTAATCTTGGTGTATTTATTTTTGTAAACAATATTTATATTTTGTGACTAATTCATGAAATTATGATCAAAGTGCTTTCCATCAAAAATCAGTCCAGATCAGTCAGATTTACTCCCAGCTTTGATTTGATGTTGCAAAATGATCGGGAACCTGCTTATAATCTCATCCATGATGCAAATCCTGGAATCTTTGATGCCACCAGAATTAATAGTTTCATCACTTCAACACTTAATCATCCTGTAACTACCGTCAACTTATTGTTTTCCTCTCAAGATAATTTTATTTAGTTTGATATTATTCAATTTTGAAAAAAAATCATTTCAAGACCCCATATGAGTCTTTTTTTCTTCTTACTGGTTTATAACAATATTTATCATGTCCTCCAAAAGCTATTGTAGAGTAACTGGTCTGTAAATGGGAACAAATGGAAAAATATATTTGTTTTTTGTTAAGAAATAAAAAAGAAACCCACTTTCCAGAGTAAAAGCATTACAGGATTTCTTTGCCCTCTGGTCACTCCTTTTTTTTCCAAAATAATGCAGGTGTTAGCAGACTGATTTATGTCTAATTTTGTCTTTCTTTCCTTGTTCCTTGTGTCATAAACTTTATGATGTTCCAGACTTCTCCTGTGCTTCATTTGGCTTGTCCTTCCTTCAAACAAACATGCTTATTCCAGAATATATTTTTCTTCTTTTCTAGGCCTTCTTCAACGATAAGTACATGCAGGAGCACCCAGACGACCTCGAGAAGATAGAGAAACTGAAAGACCTTATTGCCTGGCAGGTGAGCTTTAGCCTTTATGTTGTCCTTCAGCACATTTTATCTGTTTTCCTTTCTCATCAGAGTTGTGAGAGATGTCATATTATTTCCCCTGTCTCATTCTAGTATCACTTATCTTTGCCCTTTAATTAAGCAGAAAAAAACATGGTTCCTATGAACCAGGCCAAAATGTTGAGCCCGACTGAGATGGTGCAGAGGAGCACAGAAAAGCTTAAAAACATGCCTGCCCATTTATGTCACTTGGCCATTTCAGGACATTTTAGGGCTTAATAATCTTGAAATATTTTGGGGCCATTCACCAAGCCTCTCAGATACTGAAATTATGTGATCTTGTGCTCTATTCAAGGCACTTTGGTTTGAATATTTCGAGTTAAGGGAGTGCATCAGAAATTCAGAGGCTCTGCACCACACACTAAAAGAGCTGCAGACACCACTCTGTTTTCACACCTGAGAGTTCTTCTTATATAGGAGAGCATTAAGGCATTTTCCTGTATATTAAATCACTTTATACTAAAGTGCTTCCATTGAAAAAGGAGACGTTCTGAAAGGTTACAGCGGAAAATATAATATCGTTTAAAGAACGTGTAAGTGCACTACCAAGAGGGGTCCGGAGACGGTAACTGAAGTAAGCGGGGCAGAGTGTGTTAAAGAGTTCAGAGGAGATAATGGAAAGTGGAGAGTGCTGAAGCAAACGTTCTGAAGTTGTGGGGAGGGGATGCCATGCTGCAGAAAGACGGTAAGAGATCAGCAGTGGCGGTTTTGTGACCTTCACACCCTCAGCGTGTGGAGGAAGTGCCCAAAGAAGACAAAGAATGGCCACTCACACACATTTTCAGAAGACAGCACACGCCATTAAACTCAACTGATATGTAACTCATTTGCAGTTGATTTTTGATTGATGAACTCCTGGCTATGATTTCTCTTTTTGCAGTATCAGAATGCAGGAGTGGAGAGTTGTGTTTGGCTTTTGTTACCGCCCTTTTCTGAGTGTGTGGCTTTGATGCCCGGGATGCTGTAGATCCCTCGGCTTATGGCTCATTCAGGTGCTGAGCACACAGACTGGTTTTCTTTTCCCTACCTCTGGTTAACTGCAAGGCAAGTTAATTGAATTTTCAATAGCTGTTCCTGTCTCGGTTGCTGTAAAGTAGGTCAACATCTTGTTCCATATCTTTGTCAGAAGTCAAAGTCTGAAAAGTTGGGCTCTTTCGTGCCTGTGAACGCTTTTGTTTTTTATAAGGAAGTATGATTCACACAGAAATATCCGAGTCTCATCTCACCAACCTGTAAGCACTGCAGTCTTCAAGATTATTGTCATTTCTGATACATATCCCTAGATGTAAGACCTTTTTTTGTCTATTTGCCTATTTTTATTTTTATTTTTAGGATTTTCTTTTAGTATGCAAGAGGGAAATACTGAAAAATAAGGACTTGAGGTAGAAGTTTACAAAGCAGTTGCAGGTAATTGGTTATCTAAAAAGTTCAAGGCCATGTCAGATTTTTTCTTGTTGATTTGTTGGTAAGGAGTTTGGCCTTTTTTTTCTCCTTAATTTGTTTTGGTTTCTGGTCATTGCTCAGATTTAAATGAGCCAAATCCATTTCAGCATCACTCTGAGATTTCTGCTGGCCTCGAGCCAGTTTTAGAAACAGAGAAAATTCACAGCATATTGAAATGATTCCCTGCCAACTATGTTCCCTGGCAAAATCTCACCACTGCTTTCCTTCCTGCATCGATCACCTGTTCAATCGCGGTAACTGTGCGTGGTTAGAAATGGCCTTCATGTGATGTGTACAGGCTTCATCTCAATGCGACAAACTCTTAAAGACGCAGCTAATGTAGATTAACAAGGGTATCAGCTGTCTTCTTGCCAAAGCCAGCCTGCTTGTGTATCTCATCTTGGACTTTTCTAAGTGAGACAAATGAAGAAAATCCCACTGCAGTAAACAAACTAAAAAGTGAGAAATGAGCCTGTGTGCATTTGTTCTCTGAAATACCCATTGTGCTTATCTAGTAATTAAGGATGCAATAAGTAACTGGAAATTAGGTGTTATAAAGGCTCCCTTGCAAATAGAAAGTCGGTGATCTTAGCTGTGTTTGGAGTAAGGACAGTCTCTACATAGATAGTCTAAATAGCTACTTTACTTTTGATTGACTCAAACTAAATAAATAAGAATGTATGCATTTCTCTGTGGATAGTAAATTGAGCTGTAGACTGGAATCAGCTGCTTCCTCAGAATATTGTGTTGACAGCAACATTGGTGTTTCTGAAATTATTTATTATTTCAAAGACCTTTCTGCCACTGGCCTCTGCCTTCCATATGCAGTGGAGCCTGTGAGCTTATTAGACTGCCTGACTCACAAATGGCTGTGCACAGCTCCCAAGACCTTTTGACCATCATGAAAGGTCTTGATATGTCATCACGGCCTTGCTCAAAGCGTGTGGCTGTCCCAGCACCCCACGGTGTGGATCAGAAGTGTGGTCACTGTGATTCAGACGGGGACAGAGTCACAGTGCCCAGCTAAGAACAGGCACATCTCTCTCTTACTTGCCAGCTTCCAGCACTGGGATTTACTGGTGAATTTGTGTGCCTGGTTATTATTTGATTAAAGCACCCATATTAATGCAAAAGACTATATGTGGGGGGGTTTCTGTTCATACACTGCTTTGCTCCTTACTTAGATGAACTTTAAGAGGCTTCTGACATCCTTAAAAGGTGTTAATTGTGCTTATTTCCAACTCTTTATTTTCATTCTGGGTGTCTTTAGGAGGAGCTCTAACAGTTTTTAAAGATCCTTATTGATCTCATATTAGCAGTTCTGCTTGATGTTGTTTCTGATCAATCCAAATGTAATAATGACTGCCTCCTTTCTGTTCAGAGCCACCTTCAGAAAATTGTGTCTGAATCCAAAACGTTGTGTTTAGCTTACATGTAACGGGTGGTATTCCGCAGCTTCTACAAACAGTACGATCACTTTGGAGTTGTTACACTCAATCAGAGCTTTTGCTAATTTGAATAAAATAGGAAAGTATTTTTAACCTAGTTTCCTCTTTTGCCCTTTTCTACAGCTTTTAAGGCAGCACCGTAACAGGCACAGCGAGGGTGAGGTGTTAAGACAGGCTGAACGCATAAATACCAGCTAAGGCAAACAATTATATCACAATTTTTCTGACACCTCAGCTTTGCCCTCATTTCACACAGGAATAAAATGATACCTGTTATACAGTGTAAACTCTTATTTATTAATTTTTTTTGTCAATATGAATTCAAACTTTTTTGTAGAGCCCCATATTGTGAACACACAACATGGGGATTTTGAAATGCAGCACCAGCTCTCCGGGGTCTAATTATGAGACTTTCACCTCAGCCTCCCAACAGATGATCTGCTACTCATATCTTTAATCATTAAACTGATGCCTCTTAGACTGCTGGGTCGTAGTAAAGCCTCTTAAAAAAAAAAAAACTTTGAACATGTAATTAAACAAGTGATCGTGTGTGTGTGTGTGTGCGTTGGCCTTGAGCCTAGGTGCCTTACCCAATGAGCTTATCACTGTGCAGCCACCAAGCAGAATTCTGTTGCCATGCCGCCACTCAGTCGCTCTCAATCATCTTAAAGTCTATAAAAAGATGTGGGTATCCTGGGAGACGTGAATCTGCCTCAGCTTTCACTCCTGGAATCGCTTTTTTTGTTTCTGCCCTCCTTTCTCTTACTCCGAGCCCCCTCGCTTTTCCTTCACCTTTTCTATCTAAGCTTTCCCTCCTCTATTCTTCTCACCAAGTGGTCCCAGCAGTGACGATGATGAAGGCGCTCAATATCTGGGGAAATCCGTGCAGGGTGTGTGAAGGCTCCTCTCATTCATCTCTCTGTACTGGAGCTTTGGTTTTGTGGAGCATAGCACAGTAACATTGGATTACAGCTACTGGGATACCTGCTCAGTATGTTTTTTCAAGCCAATCTGCTCACTTTATACCCCCGCTATCACAAGGCTGCCGTTAATACACCGTATTACATGGTTGAGCACCTGAGCTAACAGTATAGAAATATATTTCTTATATGTTCCTATACCTCCCCTTTAAGTCAAGCTTACGTCAAAGCATGTGAACTGGTGTTCCAGCTGAGTGAAGTCAGTTTACGCTATAGTCTGCTGTGAAGGGGGCAGTTAGCTGTTAGAGAAAGGGAAGAAAGACGAGCTAGCTCCAGGGAATCTCAACTTTAACACACACTCCCACACACATGATTGTTTCATTAACGTCCCACCTGCTAGATACTTCATACAGTCCTTTGTACCTGAAGCAGATTCTTATTTCTGTTTTCCCATGTCATTGTTTTCTATGTTTTTATGGCTCATTCACATTATTAAAAGGCTATATTATCACTGTACGTATCAACTAGTTTTGAGGGTTTGTCCCCTTTTCAGGTTCCCTAAACTTGGAATAAAGAAAAGTTATAATGGTCAATTCACTTTTTTTTCAGCAACACTGTTGAGATAAGATTTTGAGCAGTGACTGAGACCGTCTCAGATGTCTTTTGTGTTTATATTAGATGTGCAAACAGACATCTATACATTGTGGTAACTTGGATCTCCCTTGTTGTCCTTGAATGGCGTCCCTAAAGTCAACTCACAAGTCATCATCATTACCTTCCCCGACCTCTCAGCAAGCCGTGTGCAATCCAGTTAATCGGCTGTATACTTTATCTATTTTCTCAGCAAGAGGCAGCCCACAAGAGAAAACTCTTTCTTGTTCAGAACGAATTACAATCCTTTTAGTATTATGGAATTTGCAACGCTACACTGAGGGCACTCAGATTAAGAATAAATTCTATGAAATGATCATGTCCTATCCACTGAAAAAACATGATTTATTAAGGAGCCTTCCATTGTAAAACAATAAACTGCTTTTCTCGCAACTGTAACCGTTCTTGCTCTTAGCAGTGAGAACAGCATGGGAGTATTTTTACACCTGCTATGGGAAGTAAAAGCTCCGCTCTAACCTCGACCGACTGTGACATCTTTGCTTGTTTCTCGTGACTTATCGTGCAATCCTTCACTGCCTTACCGCGGCTAAAGCTGGCTTTCGGTGCAGAAACACTCCTTAAAAAACTTAACCTGTGGGATTCATCCAGTAGGGAAAACAATATGCACCCCCCCTGCCCCCTGCAGATTCACTCAGAGCAAAGCTTGCTGACTCTGGCTGTGGTACTGGGGTTTCCTAATGACCTGTTTTCAGCATTTTTCTGTCTCCCCCTCACTCTGCTTTAACCTGCAAGCCCACTGTTTTGTGTTAGAAAACCATCTTCTTACAGTGTGAGAGGCAGCCGACATCAAAGGGTTGGCTGCGTCATCATTTGCGTCAGCGCTGAAGAAGAAAACATTCATCGCTTCTAACGCATGCTCTGTAGATGCAGTCAGTCCAAACTTTCATTTTTATTATGCATGTTTGGTTGAGGTGATCTTGCTTGTACGAACGGGGAGGAGGCGTCATGGCAACAAACTCTTTGGAACATTTTCTGCTTCAACCTCAAACAGTTGTGCATTCACTTCCTGCTCGGAAAACATAAGGGGAGCTTGTACATCAAATTAAACGTGTCTATCCTACAAATGAATACTCAACATGAGACCAGCCTCTGATCTTTTCACTGTTTGTTTGATAGACCTTATTTTTCAGCATTTTTTTCTTCCAGATCCCTCATCTTGCTGAAGGTGTTCGCATTCATGGTGAGAAGGTCACAGAGGCGCTGAGGCCTTTCCATGACCGCTTAGAGGCGTGCTTCAAGCAGCTTCGGGAGAAGGTGGAGAAGCAGTATGGGGTAAAGAGTCTGGTAAGAGCTGTTTATTTAACTTATTTTTCCCATTATGTCTGGAATGTGTTTTGAAAGAAACTGGTTAGAGGCAACAAAAACCCTCTAAATTGTTTTTGAAAAACCAAAAGTGTTTTTTTCTAACATTAGAAGGATATATTTCCTCTAATAGAGTAAAACACAAACCCAAAGTATGATCAAAATAAATTTGTTTGACATTTTACAAGACTGCAAACTCATTTGAAGTTGTTCCGGCTAAAACAATTTTGTACTGAAAAATGCTGCATGAATCCCACTACATCTCTGAAAATCAGTGAAGGGATTTAAAAAGAAGGCCTAACACAACACAGTGGTTAACATGATCCCGTCGTATTTAAACACATTTGCATCACATTTCAAATATACACAATTTTTATTTTATTTCATAATCATCATCAGTTACAATTATTTACAAAGTATTGGGTTTCAGGGTTTGTGCTTCTTTATTTAGACTTTTTATCCTAATCTGGCTGACGATAATAGGTATCGGATGGCATTAGGCAGAGAAATAAAATGAATTCTGAGTATATCTATGTAAATTTAAACCAAACTCCAAAGGCAAGGCAGTAAGGGCTCTGCTATTTGATCTGCACTGTGCGCCACATTTTTATCTACATTCCTGTGTATCCAAGATCAAACATTTCAACACCGCATTACTTTGAACCTTTTTTGCACTAAGAGCCTAGTCAACTCAGTTTGTCTGCAGTGACTGGCTGCTGGGGACTGCCTTCCATCTCTGCCCTCTTTTTAAATATTTAATTGTTCCTTGGCCGTGCACTTCCCAGAATCTTGCCTGAGGTAAAGGTGCACCCTCTCTTATGAACTGAGGATGGTTACAGCTTTCTAAATGACAGAGAATTGGTTACTTTCTAGGTTGGGATGGTTTCCAGCAGCTCTCGGCAGAATTAAGAAGTTTTCACTCTAACTTTATTTCCAGTTGTGTGTTTACGCAGCCGAATCATTTTGACTCTGCATAAAATAATCAGTATTTTATAGGTATGAAGTTGTGGGCCGTTTGCCCACTTTGTACACAAACTACATTTACTGCCGGCTAACAGCTTGTTTATTCCACAAACACCATAACACAAGTTGTAGATATCATCTGATAGCTTCAAACCAGTAACACGATTGATCGATCCTCGTTGTAGCCGACAGCAGATGAGCGACGGGGAACTCGTCCTACCTCCATGGTGCGCTCCTTCACCATGCCCTCCTCCCAGAGGCCTCTGTCAGTAGCCTCAGTCAGCTCCATCTCCTCTGACACCTCCCCCTCCAGGCCTGGCTCCGACGGGTAATGTATTGTTAACTCTTTTTAAGGCCATACATAAAGAAAAGATTGTAAGATAGAGCTATGTGCTCTCTGGTGTTATTTATAACTGTGGTTTTGTATTTATAACTGAGTCACAGGCCCCAAATTTAAAACCAAAGCGAATAATTTTATGCGTACTATACAGGATCTTGTAGTGCCTTTAGAGTCTTACTCTCTGGCACAAGTCAACACTTGTTTTAAAGTTCAGGTGGAGTTGAAAGCGACTGCATTCAGATGTGTCGGGTGCCATGTTATCTTTTCTTTAGTTTTGCCCTGGAGCCGCTGCTACCAAAGAAGCTGCACACCAAGTCTCAGGACAAACTGGACCGGGACGAGCCTGAGAAAGAGCGCAAAGAGAAGAAAAAGGAGAAGAGGAACAGCAAGCACCAGGAGATTTTTGACAAAGAGATGAAGACTACGGAGATCCCTCTGCAGCCGGCCGAGGCTGTCATACTCTCAGAGACGGTAGTGTAGATTTTCTCTTATCCTGTTTAATTTTTTTTTTCTTTCATCGTCTTCTTTCTTAGTTTTAGATTATTCTTATGAATAATTCTCAATCTCTCATTATTGTATATTTAGCAGAATGGGCTCTTGTTCCAAAAATATTAAATCTATTTGATGAAAATATTTATATACATATAGAAATTAGTTTCCTGGGGAAATATTCATGAAGAAGCCTGGATTGGCAGGTAATTCTGTAATCTTTTTATAGGACAGTCCCATCAAATTTTACACTTGGACTCAAGTCAAATATCTTCTCCATTTCTAATGACTTCCCTTTCAGGGAGTTCATTAGCAATCAGAATAAAGAGTCTCTGAAGCATCTTTAGGATTTCTCACTTCTTTTCCGCTCTCTTCCAATATCTGGATTGATTTTCTCTCCACCTCTAACCCTCTACTCACCTGCTCCCTGAAATTTCGTTCAGTAGTGTGTTTTTCTTCCTCCTGCCTCTGCTGTGCTCACACACTGTATCCACGCAGTAGAAGGTTTGACTGTGCCTTCCCTGTGGGAATGCCCCCTCACCACGTCAGCAGCATGGAGATAAGGACAGGAATCAGATACAAGGGAGGCCCCCGGTGGTGAAGGAGCCGGCTGGCTACTGAAAGGGGTTTTGCTCCTCAAGGGTCAAGAATAGAGCACTCAGGAGTGTTTTGTAGGATGAAGTTGTTGCTTGCCATGTCTAAGCTCAAACGGAAACCTGAAGACATAGTTGATTTTATTTTAATATGATGGGCTGTGAAGCAACGTTACATGCCTGACTAAAGAGTGCTGTTATTTCAGTTTCTCCCTCGCGGCTGAGTGTTTGAGTTTGGCCAATTACGAAGTTGTTTGTTAATGTCTCCTACCGTGTGGGATAACCCTGAGGACTTGTCTTTTCATATTCAAATTCCAGACCTAATAAAGTGGGGAAAACATGGTCTTGCATGCAAACAATTATTTGTAACCACAAATAACATGCTGCAACCCGACAAGCACATTTAACCAAATGGGTATCTCCTGCAGGAATACAAATAGCAATTTTAACGTGTGAGTGTACACACACACACACAGCAATCCCAGAGGAGATGTGGAACAAATTTTTCTCTTTTATACTTCATCAGAGTCTCAACTCATTTGCCACACAGGAAACATTTTTCTCAGTGCTGTTTTATTTCCGTAATTCATTTCAGTTGTTACCTTCTTTGCTCGGTAATGAATCCGTTTTGTTTTGTTTGTTTGTTTTTTTTCCCTATTCTTTGTGATAACTCAGATCAGCCCTCTGAGGCCTCAGAGACCAAGGAGTCAAGTTCTCAACCAGCTGGGCGGAGACCGTCGCCTCTCCGTGTCTCCTGGGCCGTCTTGTTCCAGCGTCTCCTCCTCCTCACCCGGACCCCCACCCATCACGCCCCGGAGCAAAGCCTCCTTCAGCCTGCAGGCTGTTTCCAGTAAGAAAAAACAACTTTGATCTCGACACCATTCAAGCTCTTCTCTGGATGATGTTGTAATTGCACTGATGCTGAGACAGGTTTTAATCCTTGCTTATATCCTTTTAAGAAGCTATGGCGAACTTGTTAATGAGCGAGAGTATTTACACATTCATGAGAAATAGGCCCATTTAGCAAGACATATTTACTCCCTTTTAGCTCCGCTCAGGAGGTCCGCCGAGGTGTTTGTTCACTCCGGAAGGAAATATATTTCCCTAACGTGTTTAATGAACCGAAATGTTTAACAGCTACTTTCCATCTGTGTCTGTCCTCCAGTTAAGCCAGGAGGATGTTTAGCATATCGTTTATAGTGCAAGTGAAGTGGGATGTTGCCACCAAAATGACTGTAACAGAGAAGTCCCATTAAGTTTTAAAGGTTTATCTGAAGGTAGTTTTAATGTCTTCATCGATGTACTTATTTTAAGATACAGAGAGTTTGTAACAGTGTAGGAAAATGTTTGTTTTATAACTTTTAAGTGAAATACTTCAATATAGATGTAGTTTTTTTTACTTTTTTTTTATTTTTACAACACACAATAGGTTACAGAACTTTGGAGGCACAACCCTAGACAAAATTACTCCAATCTATTTGCCACACAAGCTAAATGCACTCCAGAGTGACAGGGGTCTGGAGCCTATCCCGGCTGCCATTGGGCGAGAAAGTCCGTCACAGGGTCATGAATTATGTCTGAGTTCTGGAACTTTCGGAGCCTCGGAGCTGTAAATATTTAGCCTCTTTCATAAAAACCCATTGAAGCCTTTACTGTTGGTTGCATCATCATCTGGCATCATCCCTCCAACCACTGATGCTGTCAACACTCAGACACGTAGGACCGAGCTGCCTCTGCTCGGCACGTGTGAAGTGCACGAGAGAGACGCAGGTTACAAAGACCTTTTCTTTTTTTTTGCCGCAGCCAAAAAAGACGTTATTGGAGAGGAGGATGATTGAACCAAAACCTAATTTCATAGGACAGAGTACGGCTCCATAAAGACGATTGGAGCAGCAAATTTGGTTTATAGTCTTTCATTGATTTATTGGTAGATGACCCCCTTACGCTGTCATTTATTATGCAGTGTCTGTCACGCCAACTTCCAGATCCATTTGCCAGCGTTTGGGTAGCTTCTTTAGAGTAGCCATAAGATAATATTGCAATGACCTTGATGTGTAAAACTGTTCTCATCTAGGTCTGCGCAGAAAAATCTTTTTTTTCCGCCTTAAAGCATGCAGCTGGGGATTCATCAGCGAAGGGGTGCTGATACGTCCTCTGGCACCGAGCTGGGGCTATTTCAGAAACGCCTGATGTATTTGGATGATGAATGCGAGCTGATGAGCGCCCTCTCGCACAGGTCTGGAGCTGAACGGGATGGGCTGCCCCGACAAGGGTGAGACCCCTCCTCCGCTGCCGGTGAAAGGCAGCACGGCTGATTACGGCAACCTGCTAGATAATCAAGACTTGACGAGTCCCTCGACGCCTCCGCCGCCCCCAACGCATCAAAGAGTAGGTGTTTTAATTAGGACTGAGAGCAGCCTTTTTAATGATGCATGGCACTTATAATGAAACAAGCGTCCGCTGCACGCACTTGACATTTGGGTCAACCCCCCCCACAACCCCCCCCCCCCCCTTCCGAACATCCTGTACTAATGATTGTTCACAACTATGTGAACGCAGGTTTCACACTCATTTGGGCTTGTTCTTCATTGGTCTATCGCGTCTTGTCACAAAAGAGTGTGGGCAGCGGTCCGTCCGAGGCCCATACCCACCTGTCCACCCTTCTGTTATTTATACTCGTCCCAGCAGCCAGCCCCGGTGCTCCAAAGTGATTGATTGGATGATTACCTTACCTCTCACATCCATCAGAAGCTCACCAGCTGTTAATCAGCGGCTCGTCTCTTCACATTCGCCGACTTACTACTCAAGGCGTTTTCTCGCCTCGCCACTCCGTTAACTAATCTTATTTATCCACTGTCATGGCCCGAGGACAGGTAGTAAAACCGGGCAGGGGCACGCGGCGCGGGCCGCGGACTGACAGTAATGCAGTGAGAGCGCATGTTGAAACTGAGCGACAGTCGTTCCTCACTTGGGGACTTTTATAGAGGCCGAGAAGGCGAGGCCGCTGACGAGCATGGCTTCTTTTCAATAGTTTTTGTTCGGAACTCGTGTAATTTGGATGTACTCGCAGTTGGAAAAAGGACTCAAACAACTGTCTGAATTTGTTATAAATATACTATATATGTGTAAAGCCGGAAACCATAACTAAACGGTATGACAGTATTCTTAAATTTAGGCCTCAGAGGGTTTTTGCCACTTTTAACTTGGAAATACAGTTTCCATCCAGCTTGTAGGAACCCGTTTGGCATCATTTCTGCCATTTAAAGCAGTTCTAAATGTTGCAGTTCCTTCCATTGCCTCTTGCATTAAAAGACCAGTCATTTTGGTTGCAGGTTTTATCATTTGGCCTAGATTTCAAGCTCTGTTTTGATTTCCTCACAGCACATTCCACCTCCTCTGCCCAGCAAGACCCCTCCTCCTCCTCCACCCAAGACGACCAGGAAACAGGCCTCCATCGATTCAGGAATTGTACAGTAAACAAAGATGGTGACAGTTGGGACTAAACAACTCACTGACAATACAACAAAGACAACATCAACAGTAAGCGTTACCCCAGAAAAAAATGGTTATTTTTTGCCCACTCATTCCTCGCTCCCTGTCCCAGCTTGACAGGATGAATACCTCACCACAGCCCACCCCCTCTCATTGTCTTTAACTCTCCCCTTGATGCAGTCTGCTGCATGGAGCGTGTTGCACAGATGAATAGTCAATCTGTAGATAACCTGTCTGCGACTGACAACTTGCCACTGAAAGATTTTTATCATGAGATTGTCCGCTGACCGATAAGCATGGACCGACCAAGAGCTTCCAAATACTGACCCACTCTCAAGTATAAGAGAGCAAACTCATTAAAGCATTGTTATTCATGACTCTTTTATTCGTATTTCCACTATGTACAGAGTTTTGTATATATGATTTTATTTTATTTCTGGTTTTTGTATGTGATTTGATCTTGACATTTTTGTATTAACTTCCATTAGATTAAGTGGCATTTATATGAAACAAAAAAGGGCTAGTAGGTTTGAATTGACAGGGATCTAACTGAGCTGGTATGTGAGACCTTGGGTCGTGGATTTTATTGCTCAATGTTTTGGAGTGCACATACAACTAACTCATATTTCATTATCATTGTTCAGACCATGTTCTCGATTGCTGTAACCTTGGATTTCAATTATACCGGCTGTTTCCAGTTCACTACTGACATGACTTCTAAATAAACTTTCAAATGTATGTATTTTTAAAAAAATGTATGTCTTCTGACGTCTTTGTTATCTGATGCTGAAACAGATGTTTTTCAAGTAAAAAAAAAAAAAAAGATCAAACTGAAAATCTGTACTTATCATCACTTCAACTGAACACCATGGGGAAAAGCTTCCTGCCTGTGTAATTGTCAGTCTTCACTGCCGCCTCTTCATTGTTTATATGTAGGAGAGGTGTGGTGTAAAACTGGCACACAATATGCTTGGGAATTAATACAAAAAATAAAGAGATAGCAAATATCGCCGGAGCAGAAAAATTTCATTCAACTAGCGGCCAATAATGTGCCTCAGTAAAACATGAAAGCTCTCGTAATGCATTGTGTGGATGAGGAGGCACATGCCTCCATGCATGAGCAGGATCAGAGGGGAATTCGAAGTAATACCAAAGGAGATAAACACCAGCTAATGATCAACAGAACACGCAAGACGCAAGAATCCACTGCTGAGAGACTCAGAGAAAGCATACGATTTCAGGTCAGCTTTAAGAGTAAGGCAGGCCCAGAAGAGTCGGCTGAATTTGAAGTCCATGCTTTCTGTATTTACTACTCATTAGCTATTAGATATCCTGATATTAAGACTTGAAAATATTTTTTTTACATGCATGGTGGGTTTCATCAAAATCCAAGACCCTGAGAATGAGCATAAAGGGAAAAGAGGGAGGCCGTGAGCTAGTGTGGCCCAGAGGGAGTAGGGCAGGTGAACCCCCTCAAAAAATAACAGGTGCTAAAAGAGGGACCTGTGGGAAGTGAAGGTAACAGAGGCGCCCGTGGTAATCAAAGCACAGTCATCAGAACAGCAAATATGATGCAAAGACCCCGCAGGATCCAGTCCCAGGTCTCTGGAAAAGAGCCCAAGCTTCAAATGGCAGCAAACCTTTTACTACGGCAAGTATTCATCATGGCATTTTTTCAATAAGCTTATGTGCAATGTCACAACATCAATTTCCAATTTCCGTCTATGGATGCATTGATTTTTTTTAAGTCTTTCACCATGATCTCTCATTGATGATGGGAGAGTTAGACCACTGGGGAAAGTCTTCTCCGGTGCGTCCCAAAGAGTCTGTGAGTCTAAGGCGAGATGACTTATATTCTGGGAACCACTCCAAATGAATCCCGCCATTGTCATGGAACACATGAGAAAGACAATAGGTGTTGATGCAAAAACAGCACCGCAAAATCTGATATTTTGCGGTGCTCCAAAGTAGGAACTGCTTCTTTTAGAGACTTTTGTTTTAATATTACAGCTGTGTGTTAAGATTTACAATTCAAAAATAACATATTGCAACTTCTTATCAGCTTTAAATGTATTATTGAATTATGTTTATTTGAATAACTAAATTGCTTTTTACTCTTTGTTCCACGGTGGCTTAAGTTCAAGGTAAAACTGGTAAAAGGAATATTGTTCTGAAAATTTGATGCTTTTCACACTAGCTCTCGTAAAATGACACTTTTACCTTTATTTTCTCAGCCATACGCTTCTTGGATGGTAAGTGCATTTACAGTCCTTGTTTTCTGTCCCGAAAAAATTGCTTGTGGAACCTTTTTTGAAGAGTTTGCCCCAGGTGGCTCATCTTCCACCGCTCTCCTGTTCTGCTGACACTTTGTGAGTGGGCGTCTGCCTGAGGAGAAAAGCTCCAACTGTATCATCAGTTGTTAGAAGGTGTTTTTATCTCAGCTTTAAGATTCACAGTATAAAGCTCTCTCATCCTAATTAGAAACAATGAGTGACATTTTTTCCCCTCTGAGAAATTCTGGGGAAAAGCAGTCAAAGGAAAGCAGTTTGTCAGGCCATAAAATGCCTGAAAAATATGTTGATATTTCACTGTAATTAAAAGGCAGCATCCTATGTGATTTCTTTATCAGTAAGCAATCAATAAACATATGTACATGTATAATTTATAATCCTTTGTACATCCAAATGCCTAAAGGGCTTTAAATAATCAGAAAGTTTGAGAAATAACGCTTTAATTATTCTTGTGTGTCCGTAAAGGAGAGATGAACCATTATTATTCATTTATTGTTATTCTTTTTGAAGGAATAAAAATGCAGAAGGAACCTTGGTCATGTTGAAGATCACAGTTGCTATTTTGAAGTACTTTGTTGAGCTGAGGTTCTTTTATTTTAAATGCACTACATATATGAATTAGAATTAGAAAGAAATAATGTCAATTGTCCTCAGTGTCACTCTTTTTTTATGGTTTCCCCTTTTTATCTTTTACTTCCATTTCTTCATCTAGCATTACTTTGACTGACCCCCTTGAAAGGCTGGTTACATTTCTGACTAACTTTGATTGCAAAACAAGCACTTTGGTGTTAATTAAAGTCTTAACTCAGCGCTAATGTATGTTTACCCACTTTATAGAAACATCAATGCCAGACTCATGACACTTACAGCTTGATTGTGTTCGTGGGAATAGCACTGTCTTGGACCAAAACTCCTCCTCGTCACTAATCGGTGTCTCAAAGACAAAGCGGGGAACTAAAATATTGACGGTGTTGCTGGTTAACAGCATGAAAGTTTCGTGACTTCTTGCTGTGTCAGAGTTTGCTGAAACTGAATCTTAGACAGGGGGTCGTTATTCAAGTGGGAGACATAAAAGTAGTACAACTTTGGTTTTAAGGTAACGCCCAAATCTGAAAAGTCCAGGAGTTTAGTTCTACCATTAGAGCAAACTGACTGACCATCACCTTAGTAGCCTGAAATAAATGACCCTGAAACAGTCCATAGTTATGCTGCTATAAGCCTTGACAGCCAAAGCCTCTCTCCTTACTTCTATGTTTAGTCTCCATGGACATAAGGCTTTATAGTTGTAATTTACTTATGTTTCTTTTTCTCAGCAGGTATCTTTGGTCTGATGTGATGGAGGCTGTTGTCCCTTCCATTTTGCCATCTCAACCCCCCTGCCTGTTGAGGCAGATGGCCGCCCACGCTAACTCTGTTGGTGCTGGAGGTTTCATTCTTTTAAAAGAGACTTGTTGTTTGTTTTTTTATTTCTATCATTGCCTAGTGCGTGTTCAACTTGTGAGATGCATTTGAAGAACTGTTTTGGTGCAATCTGTTCTTTTGGGGTGTTTTTAATCATCTCCGTTTGCCGTAAATTGGCACAATATAAATAAATATCATTGTAATTTAATCAAAAAGTCCCAGATATGGCTTTAGATTTGCATTAGTGGAGCCAGGTCACAAAAAACAAAAGCAAAAAACAAACATATGACAGGAAACAAATTGTAAATAGCAAACCTGCACGAAAAGTGCATTTTATAAGAAGATTACATTTTAAACAAGATGACAGTTTTAAACTCAAATCTAATATTTGCAAAAAAGCTAATTGCTGCAGAGTATTTGGGGAAATCATACATTTTAGTGTTGCCTTCATTAATTCAGAAATGCAATAATCAAGAGTAAGATGTTTTATAGTGACTAAAAAATCATCAAAACATGCTCATGATTAAAAATAAAAAATAGACTAATCCATTTTCTAAGTCAGGATGTGAAGCAGTTGCTGTAACCTTGGGTGTGTGCACAGAGGCTCACGCCGGTGAACCCCCATCAAGGAACTGAACAACATCTGCAGTTGGTTCCTGAATATTAATGTAGAAATGACATTTAGATTTTCACTCCTACGATCAGGAAGATTACTGTTGATGAGTCTCAAAGCTTTATTACATCTAAAGTCATTTTGAAGTTGTAAAACGAAATAACTTGAAGTCCGAAGGCGGGTTCAAACTTTTTTTTTAAATAGTCATCCTAACCCATTATTGCTTTGCAACGATGAGTCCATTCACACCAGTCGGTGAGGAAGGCATAAAAGTTTCATCTGCAATTGTTTTCTACAATTGAAAAGGAATAAAGGGTGAGGCATTTCAGCAATGGTAATAATACATAGTTAACTGGCAGCTATTTCAATATACTCTCAGTGATTTGTGCTCAGCCATTATGGCTCACCCTCTCCTCATTCTCAAAGCATAGGGAAAAGCACAGTTAATTGAGAGGATTTCCAGAGGCTTTGTTGGGGGAGAGCCATGAGCTTGCTCTCTCTCTCTCCGAGAGAAATGTATTTACAGCGCACTCTATCCCCATCTCATTTGTCATTTCAACCAGGAATAATGTGTATATATTTTCCCCTCCCTCTTGACACAGTTTTATTTGCTGGGAGGCAGCAAGTGTGCACGCTTCTCTTTAAATGCTTCTTTCGCATAATAAAAAAAGACAATATTCCCTTAAATCATTGCGACTCTATGGAGTTTTCATGGCTGTTTTCCCACCCCAAATGCAATCTGGAGTAATCCTCTCAGTAATTAATTTGGTTGGGGGTTACTATTAAACTTAGAAGAATGGATTTGTAATTTTTTTTTTTTTTTTTAAATATGTATGATCAGTATAATGAACTGTCTAGAACCGAATTTACAACAAACTTAAAACCCTGATACCGAATCATCAGGTGTGAGTCATTCCCTGTGTGTTGATCAGATAAAAAGGACTCATTTAAGTAACTCGGGTCCAGCAATGACCAGGATATTTGTTGTGATCTGCAGAAACTTTGTTGCTGTTTTAGGAATCAGAAATGCCTTAAAAACGACCTTTTTGGATTTTAACCAACTGCACTGACAGCCACAAAACAGGCTTTTTATTAAACCCTTTAATGCTCTTTTTCTATACTGCCCCCAACTTTGCAAACTCCAGACACACTCTTCATCACTCTTGCCAAAATTGGCTGTCACCAGTAGCTCTTAAAAGCACAGAAGCCAGTAGCCACCCGACAATTAAGTGCAGGAGAACCTGATGGCATTTGAAGTCAGAGCCTGTTTGTGCATATTCAGCGGAAAATGTCCTTTCTCTGCACAGGTTTATTATCTTGGACTGGGGTGGGAGAGCCAAGTGGTGTTGATCTATATTAGCTGAGGCTATTATAAAGCATCGGGTTTTCCCAGGCAGTCTGAGGGACGTGTTGCTAGGAAACATACCTAGAGATCGGGGGTGGAAAAGTGGTTTGATGAGAAGGCAGAGTTCCCAGCCAGTTTCAGCTTCACATGGAAATAGCTAATAAGTGCCACAGGCATGTCAGTCCAGGATATAGATTTGAGCCGTTTAATTTTATCTTTGTAATTTGCTCTCTTTGATCTTCTGTCTGTGTATTTAGCTTGCATGCATTGCAACTCTTTCAGAGATGGATACCTCCTCGGATTCCCGCAACATCATGACTGACAGACAAATTGTGGATCTTTAACTTTAAAAATATACCAATCCTTTTAGGTACTGTTATACACAAAAACATGGTCGAGTGCACATTGCCAGGCTTTAAAGGAGTTTTTATTTGAATCATTAACATTAAGAGAGTTAAACACTTGAAAAGGAAATGCTCTTCACATATTTTACTCTTAATTGTTTCTTGACTTCTTTGTAAGTCAAATAATCAGATTGTGGCTTTGAAACATCTTACCCACCAGAGAGCTGCACAGATACAGTTTTTGATCATTTATTTGGAGGGTGTCATGTTTTAGACAATGCTGCCCTCCGCTGGAGAACAATGTGAGCCCTGCCTGTCCTTGACATCCCTTGCTACCGTGACATGAAAAATACCTTTATTTCATATTGCATTTGTAGGGTTGACTCCACCCGTACCTCCACCAGTATCAACACGAGAGACTGACGATGCAAGCATTTAAAGGGGGTGGAATGTTGGATTTTTTTCAAAGATTCCTGAATATTTAAAACCAACTAAGACCAAGGGGGACAAAGTAGCCCAAACCTATCTGCAGCTGTGAATCCAGTGTTTAGATTTTGGCCCTAACAGACCAGTAGCATTTGATCTCTCCAAGGATGTAATCAGGAGCAGAGGTGTAAATCTGCCCAGTGGAGGAGAGAATTAAGTTAATGCAGCCAGGAGCAGTGAAGCAGCAGGCCCTGCTGCTTGTATTTCTGTCTCAGTTAGCCCGCTGTCCTTTGGATCCTCACTTTACTCCTGCAGGCAAGCTGTTAAGGCCAAACAGTAATTGGTCAGAGGGGACTACGCAGATAGGAACATCAAAGAAAGAGTTCCTTCGTAAATCTTAGTTGGGTTGTCAACATACATACAAACATTTTAACATATTTTGTCTCCAATAATAGTTTACATTTATGTCAAATTTATCCAGGTAATTCCTTCTGAATCAAATCTTGTGTCTTGCTGCAAACATATATGGTTAGACTTTTTTTATTAATCATATTTGGAAAAATGTAACTGATGGAGGGTGTCACAGTCCAATCGGTTTGCAGGCATGGGCCCTGAGTACCTTTAAAAAAAATGGAGTTAACCATGAAATCCTTTGTGTACATAGTTTATCTTACATTAGTTACATGAGAAGCCATCTGTCTAAAAACTAAAGCTTGGCTGTAACTCAAATTTGGTTAAAGCAAAACAACAAGAATCCCAAATACGGCATAAACTCCATGAATAAACTCCATTTGTCTCAATATGTCAATATACATACATACATACGTGCATACATACACACATATGTGCATAAATGCATAGATACATACATACACTGCAAATGCCGTTATTTTCCTGTACAGCCAGGGTAGATGAAGGTTAGCTTCATGCTCACAACCTATGCATTCATGATCTTAAAAACCACCTGTTGTTCTTCTTTCCTCCACTGGGGGGAGACGTTGAGATGGACAAGCCTCCAGCCACACAATGGGATAATTTTGTTTACATAGTCAAAATTAATGACTTTATCTCTGCCTCTCGTGGATTTTACTGGCCTTAAGTGCATCTATTAGTCTTGTAATTACTTCAGAGCAAAAACCATTAGGCAGATGCTGAAGTCGTGCAGACACATGGTTAAAGACAAGGCTGTTTGCAGAGATGGAGCCTTGTTAACCCCTGAGGGCCTCCGTTGACACCAGTGGGTATTCAGCTAAAAACCCAGTAGAAATATCTGCAGATACCAACTGCATACAGCATGAAAACTTTGTCAGAGATTTGCTCCTCCTCCCTGTCTGTCAGGCCTGCATGGCCTTGGCCCCCATAGCGGTAAATGTGTGGAGCCACATCATACATCACTTAACTTTAGGTAAGTAGAAAAAACTGATGAGTCATCATAAGCTGCTTTTTAATAGAAATAAAGAAAAATCTTTTTTATCAGGACTGAATATTTTGAGAGACCTCCATAATAAACAAAAATTAACTGTAAAAAATAAACACTATTTCCATCCAAATTTACTAGATACATTTATTAGTTAGTTATGATTACCAGCAGTCAGATTTCCCTGTCAAACCTCAAACATGACAGGAAGTGTAGTTGTTTGAGTTCAGAGTCATATGTCCTCAGCAGTCAGCAATAATTAGCTGAACAAGTTGTGTTGTATTCAGCCGGGGGTTAAATGCCACATCTCCCCCCACGGCGTCCGGTGCCTGCCGCCGCTGTACCGCCTGTGTTCGGGACCACACCTCGGAGCCAAACAATTACATCAAGGTCATGGAGAGGAGGAATGTTCTGCCGATTAGTGCGGCAGCTACCTGCAGAGTCCAATTTCAACTGCGATGATAACAGAGCAAATAGTAAAAATTCCCCATGCAGGAAGATGGTCGACAGAAAAGACCAGGTTTTTAACACGTTACTGAAATACACAAAACAACTTGAAATGTTTTGTGTGATTGTAGATCTCAGGCAAATGCATGTTACATGCATGTGTGGGGGGGTTGTTCTTCCACAGAAGAAAAAAAAAGTTTGATATTTGTCAGCAGGGCTTGTGCTGTATGTTCTGTGGCCTCTTAGTCTGCGTTGTCAATTCCCTTTACCACTCCATCTAAATTTTGTGTCCACCAGCTCAGCCACAGGATCTTCCAAGTCTTAAAAGATTCATCAGTTTGTCCAGCATTGCTCCAGAATCTCACAGTTCAGGCTGATCCTGCTGGGATTAATGTTGATTGACCCAAATCATACATTAAAGCAAGCAAAAAACAAAAAACAATCTCAAGCCCTATTTTATTTTTTATTTTTGTGTGAAGTGAAAAAAAGTCCGTGACGTCACATTGAAGAGGTTTAATTTCACAGGGGACAGCATGGTGTCCACGGGAGCGTGTCCTTGTTGACACTAAACTGGCGGCACTTTATTGTGATGTTTATCACAAATGCATTTCTTTTATGGGTTTGGCTTTTTTCCACAAACACACGTGCGTCTTGTTTGCAGAGATTGGACACTGACACTTCAATACACGAACACCCTTAGCCTGATCTGGCATGGAATGCTGCACAAAAGTTTTTTAATCTGTGGAAACCACTCAAAACTCATGCCATTTTTCTCTTAAAGTTTTAATATTGGAAACAACGCAATGATATGGGCATTGCCAACCTCTGCGTAATTACGCACGACTGATGATTTCGCAAAAAAAATCAGTTTTACGTGTACAGACTTCAAATAAAAGAAACTCCGTGTTGAAGTCAAACCACAGTATAGATGCTCATTGATGATGAGATTGGCCGGGTTAGATAAAGGAGAGGGTGTGACCATCCCAATTTTTTTTTTCCCTCAACGGGCTACCTGTGGAGGCTCCGGGCGCTGCGCATAAATACTCCCCCTCCTGTGAGAGAGTCCAGTCCTGAGGGAGAGACACAGACACGACTTGGGTTTGCGGAATCTGGTCCGGGTGGATTATGAACGCTTTTGGCCACCAGCCATCTAACCAGCAGACCAGTCCTATTCAGCATCACAGCGCTCAGGAGCTCCTGGACATGGCCGTGTACTGCGACAATTACGGTGTTTACCAACAGAATCTCCACCACCATCACCCCCAGAGGCCGCCGACTCACTCCTCAAGTTACGGCCTCGGAGAATACTCTTCACCGCCCTCAAACCCTTACCTGTGGCTGAATGGACCGGGGATCAATTCGTCTCCGTACCTGCCCGGAAACAACAGCACGTCCTACATTCAGTCTGGGTACGGCTCCAACCAGAGGCAGTTCTTGCCTCCTCCGACTGGGTTCGGTGGAGCAGACCTGGGGTGGCTGTCCATATCCAGCCAACAGGAGCTCTTCAAGATGGTCAGACCGCCTTATTCCTACTCTGCTCTCATAGCCATGGCCATCCAGAACGCGCAAGACAAAAAGCTGACTCTCAGTCAGATCTACCAGTACGTGGCAGACAACTTTCCCTTTTACAAGAAGAGCAAAGCTGGATGGCAGAATTCCATTCGACACAACTTGTCACTGAACGACTGCTTCAAGAAGGTGGCGCGTGATGAGGATGACCCCGGTGAGCATTTTTGCGCACTAAGTTTCAATAATGAATCCGATTTTCAGCCCATGGCTCAATTAAAGAAACTGTTGACGGTCCAACATTCAATCCACTGTCAGAGTTGAGAATCCCTTCAAATTAAAACTGCATAACGTGTCATCCCTTCTCATATCTGTGCTGTCTCTCCTCCAGGTAAGGGGAACTACTGGACGCTGGACCCCAACTGCGAGAAGATGTTCGACAACGGGAACTTCAGGCGAAAGAGGAAGAGGAGAGCGGATCTAAACGGGGCCGACAGTGGCGGCGTCCCGGTCAAGTCGGAGGAAACCTCGCACAAGCTCTCAACCGACACCGCCAGCCTGCTCAGCTCCTCCCCGCCCAGCATCCACGGCTCCCCGGCCTCCACGGAGCCCAAGTCGTCCCCGTCCCCCTCCGCGGAGCACAGCCCCTGCTTCAACAGCTTCGTGTCCAGCGTCAACGCGCTGCTGGCCGGCGACGGCCCCCGGGGGGGCGCGGACCGGGACTACGGCTCCGGACACCTCGGCGGTGCGCCACAGACCAGGGAGGGCATGTCCGGACCGGGCTCGTACTCACAGCCCACAGTAATCTCCCCTCTGAACTCTGACAACAGCAGAATGAACTACTACACATCCGTGCAAAACCTCTCCAACCACTTTAGTGTGAACAACCTTATTTACACCCGGGAGGGGACAGAGGTGTAGACTGGCTCTAAGTTTCTATTGTACTCATACTCCACTGGAATGAAATTGTTCTCCAAAAAAAAAAAGAGTTTTCCAAACTAAGAAAAAGAAAAAACACCTCCATCAGTGAGCCCCACTTTACAGCAACATGTTTATGATTTGACTCATGAGTCACACTTCGTCTGTTGGAAGCCTCTTTGGTATATATTTGACTTGTTTTTGTAATATCTTATTGTAGCTGCCTGGTTGGAGTAAGTTTGTCTGAAAAAAAATGAAGACATTTTTGTACAGAAATTATTTTCGTAAGGGGAAAACCTGGCATTTAATGTTTGACAGAATTTTGTTTTATTTAAACTCACCTGTTTGAATAAAAATCATTTATTTTATGTCAATACTCCAAGGTTTCTGTGTGTCACTTCAAGGGCTCTCTGTCCAAGAGAAACACGTGTCAAGGTGCATTTTAGACTGTTTAATAAACATGTAAAGGCTATAGGTCATGAGTAGGGATATAGTTTTAGACCCTGGTTTTAAAAAAACTAAGCACATTTGCAATGTCATGTCAACAGATTTTTTTTTCATTTTGATATCCATTCATTCAAAATATAGATATCCTTGTTGAATCAGCTGTTTAAATCACTAGAGGGCCTCTGTGTAATATTTTATCTACATCTCTTGCAGTTTTATTTAGGCCCACCTGAAAAAAAGGCTCCACAAAAATTCGCTTTTGTTCCCAAACATTTATCAAAAGGCCAATTAACTGGGAATAAACCAGAACACACGCGTTCAGATCCTATCATAAAATCCCAAAGACAAGTGGCTGTAAGCAGTAAAGTGTGTAAAACAGACATTTTCCGCTTGTCACTTCCAATAGCACTCATTAACAAGCAATCGGACCTTTAACTTACCTCCACGAGGTTCAGAAGTTCAGCTTTTTGTCTGAGCTGCACTTGACTGAAACTGCGCCTGCTTGATTTAAAGCTGTTTGCTGCATATTGGATGTCTCGTGTCTTTTTCCAAATATGACGCCAAAAAAAAAGAAAAAAGAAAGAAGTCGTTTCCGTGTGTGACAGTGTGAAAGCTCCTTTTTGTAAAGCTGCATCCGATGAACGGCTCATCTGTGCGTAAACAGTAAGCCTGCTGTAGGGTACAACCACCACGTCTGTTTTAGGAACACGGTGGATACGCACGAAATAAAAGCCGGTAAATAAAACGAAACACCTCTCAATTGGTTCCTAATTGAATTCACTCAGGCGCGCTTTAATCTCGAATAAAAGAAAAAATTAATTGACAAGACTTTCTTGCCCCCGGTCGGAGCACAATGAAAGTTGGCAATTCCACAGATCCCCTCCTGGGCTCAAATGAAAATATTACGATCCGAAGATCTGGGAACAAATTATCTCTCTCGGGCCACATTTTGTTCTATTATCTGCGGAGTACGGCCACGGATCAGACAATGAGATTTTTTGTCACACAGGAGCAGGTTCTCACAGTAACAAGTTTCCTTTTGAAACCCTCATCACATCCAGTGAATGGAGGCCTTTTATATTGGATTACTGTCAATCCAACGTAGTTTAGTTGTTCTTATTCAGTGACTATTTGTGAATACAAGATTACGAAGAATTCTATGAAAATCTGCTACAGTTGTTCACCTCTGTGTATTTGCACAATAGGCTACTATTTAAGCTAAATTACAACTAGTTCTTTTTGATATTAATTTATAATATTTTCCACAATAGAGACAAACACGGTTTTATCAACATATTAAGAATTCCTGCAGCAAGAAATAATCTCAACTTCAACGTTCCATCCAAAGTAATCATTAAAACAACAGCCCCTTGTTAAACAGAATTGGGAACATTGTTGTCTTCTTTTTAATGAATCATCATCATGCATTTCTTATGTCTTGAGAAAAACTGACATCAAGGTAATTACATTGGCTTGAAGCCACGTCGTCACAAATTTCCAGTGATTTAGCTCGCAAATTTCCCAGAAATGTAGCGCATCAGTGACTCAGCAGTGCCTGAAGGGCCCGTTCAGCTGCCCACATGATCATCAGCCAGGCCACCATGTCTCAGTCCTACCTGCTTCAGGGCCCTTGGCTCTGGGGGCTAAAGGCCAAGGCCCTGCAGAATACTTCAGCATCAGGGTGGCCCTGGCCCTAAGAGGCACACACACAGTGGGCTAAACCCATAATGACGGGTTTCATCCCCACGCGGTCAGCTTGCCAAAGGTAAGGTTGGCTCATGATAGAAGCATCTCAGAACTGGTTTAATTACTCATTTTATAAATCACTTTCATTAGTTTAGTTTAGTTTTATTAGGATTCCCATTAATAAATGGCCACTAATAAATGGCCACTAGTCTTCCTGGGGTCCTCACATGAAAAGATTACATTACATTATGAACAAATCATTGAAAAAATAAAAATAAAATCACAGTAGGAAATAATAAGAACATAAACAAGAGTAGAAATATACAACATATATACACAGGTCAGTTCATCATAACATCTGCAGTAGTTCTGAAGACAACAGACAATAGACATTAGATGAAATACACCTGACAGTCACCCCATGCCTACAACAGCAACTTGAGTAGAATATTTTTAGATTACAGATGATATCATATATAGTGAAAACAGAAAAACTTAAATTAAGTTTAATCAGCTTCCTGAGAGGAGGTATTACAAAGAGAACAACTGTCTGTCTTACGTCCGGCAGATTTGCTCACTAAGGGCTACTGAACAATGTGAGCTGGAGTGATCTGTCATTTTGACCAAATTAAACTCTTAAGTGTTAAAAAAGTTCACAGCTGATAAAATGCACAAACTGTATATACCGCACGATTTGTCATGTTGCTGTGCAGATCTATGCCGTCAGTAGAGGTAGAGATTTTCTTGTATTGCTTTTAAAACATTCAGGATCCAAAGCCCAATAATTCCTCACAGCCCCTTTAGCTTTATCTTAGGGAACACGTAAAATGAGACTGTGTCTGACCTCAGTGGAGAACATGATAGCTTGGCCATTGGGAGAATGATTACAGTCTGGGTTAGCCCTGAAATTTCACATCTGTTTGTAGCAGTCAGTGGGCATTACAGGGGATGGTCTCTTATATTAGAGTTTGATCTCTTGAGGAAGTAAAATATTTAGCTAAACAATACGATGACAGATTCTGGGGAAGCAACTATACGCCTGTAAGGACACGAGGACGGGGGGGAATCTCTCTGCACCCCACTTGAAAAGGATCCCGGGTGCAACTGATAGCTGAGGAGAATGTCTATCAATTGGCATGACCTGATCCAGTTTCATCATTCACAGTCCAAGGGCCATAAAAAGCCTAAAGTATGGGACTGTGGCGGCATGGGATCCCAGCTCCTGACGAGCAGCCATATGGATTATTTTATACAGAACTAAAGTCATCACACTGCAAACTGTTCAGATGTTGACAGCACATGAAAAAAAGTGGGATAGACATCTATTTCTGCACTACATGAAGAGAAGAAAAATACTCACGCAGGAATTTTAGAATTCAGGTTTCCCATATACAACTGTCTTGAATTGTACATTGCATTCAATTGCATCTCCAAGCATCCTGTGAAGGATTGTCCCTTCACTCAAAAAAAAATTCCCTCCAGCCATGAAACAGTCTCATTCTCAAATTAGTTGTGGACACAAGAAGGGAAGCCCCTTCAGAGCTGTGAAGATTGCCAGGTGAGGAATCTCCTGAAAGAGTTAAGGAGATACAAGGATTAACGGACTAGAACGAGTCCCAGTAAATCCATAACCACGGTCTGTCTTCACATCGCTCCGTCTGGAAAGCCTATCCCCAAAACAGTGTAACCTATCCCCCTCTCGCTCTATTGCTGGAATATATTTTGACAAAGTCTTTGTTCTCACATTATGGAACTGTGGGTAGATCATCCTTTATCCGTGACCTTTGTCATAACAAACCATGGCAGTGGTTTTACACACCACTGAGAAGCAGAAAATAATCTTCATCCAGGTTAATGTTTTTTTCTAACCTAGTTTTACCCTTATGCCCTTTAATATTAAAATGTTTGAAGAAACATTTTTTTTCTTACAACTACACTCTCTGAGAATTTCAGTACAGTGAAAGACTTACTCATAAACTCACCAATAAATCTGAAACCATTCATCACCTTCAAAAAATTCCAAACCATGACCTTATGAGAACAATATCCAGGGTTCATGGAACATCAATTTCTAGGTGAAGTGCAGCGGAACAAATATCTGAGTAACGGCCAATGTGTAATCAGTTTAGCTTGGTTTCAGGGGCCACTTTAAGTTGAGCACATGATAAGGGAAGATTTTAACCTCCCACCAAAAAACTTAGATGATTTTTTTGCTGGATATGAACGGTGGATGAGAAATGATTTAATGAACAGTTTTCTGGGGGAGGGGGGGGTCACCATTTTTGCCATTGACTCTTTGTAGTCATGCCACCCAGCTTGCAACACCTGCATGCTGTCATTACCTGCTCATCACAGACAGGAAGTGGTGACAGAAGACAGAGGAAGTTGCTTCCCAGAGGGGAATTCATTTGACCGGTTCCGGCGTGGACTCCTGGTGGCAAGACGGAAGTGAGAAGATTACTCGGTGCTCTGGGGATCCTCAAAATAGCTGTCGCTGTAATTCACGTCAGTCAATGAAAGCAGTTCTGAAGGAAGCTTTGTCACATCGGACAAAGTTCCTGCTGTTAAAAGACGCGGCTCACCTGGAGCAACTCGTGTCGTGGAGCACAAAACAGGAGTTTCACCTGCTCCCATGTTATTTCATTCAACCTCGCTCATCTGTGATGATAGTGCATCTGCCCCAAGGAATTCGTAGACTGCTCCCTCCCAAAACAAAAACTCCCCCAGCCCCTAATGAGACCCCCTGCCTCCTGCCTCTATTATAGGGGATGCATACCAATAGAGAGACAGGAGCAGGGAGGCAGACTGAGCCTCAAAGACCTCTGGAGCCCTCCCCTAGTCTGAAGCATCAAACGTGCCCCTCACCGAGAGTCAAATAATGGGTTTGATCAACACTGAACCGAATTTTCGCCATGTAAGCTGCAGATGATCTGCGGCTGAAGGCTCTAAATGACAGCCTACTTAAAAGGGACAGGCATGCCCCCTTCCAATGCTCCTTTTGTTTTGCCCCTAATCCCAAACCCCTGCCTCACTTCTGAGGCAACAGTCATATCAAAGTATAAGAAAAGGGGCTTTGTTTTTTTAAACAGCTTTAATAAGTGAGATGTAATACTGCGATAAGAACGTAAAGATATCACAATCGACTTTTTATATTTGTATTAATGTGAGACTTTTCTTTCTGCTATGA